CCGAACCCCTGCGACTAATTCACCGAACCCCTAAGAATGACTCACCGAACCCCTAAGACTGATTCACCGAACCCCTGAGACTAATTCACCGAAACCCCTGAGACTGACTCCCCGAACCCCCTGAGACTGACTCCCCGAACCCCCTGAGACTGACTCCCCGAAACCCCTGAGACTGACTCCCCGAACCCCCTGAGACTGACTCCCCGAACCCCCTGAGACTGATTCACCGAACCCCATGGGTACGATCAAACCCACAACCACTGCCTTACGGTTATCAGTAACAACATGCTTATTAACTAAAAACCCCAATAATTTGCATAATACAACTCAATTAGCATACAGCCCACCCCCCTCCCCTACTCGCTAATCTCGCGACAAAACACGCAGGTAATATAAAAAAAAACAAACTGCAAGCTTATAGCTAGCCTTCAAACCCTGCACCAGATCAGCTTGACAGAAACATTGCAGTACATTTTTTTAGACCCCGCCCCTTTAGCACTATTAATAACAAGTGCAGTAACTCCAGGCAGTGCGGCGGGCATTAATCCACATATTATCCCATGGAGTAAGGATACGGGACTAATCTTCTTAACAAAAAAAAAAAACGGATTGCTGACTCAATGTGGGATCAGTAGTAAGTTAAAAATATTTTTGTTTCTGTGTTATATCCATACAATTATATCGATGTTATACTTTCACTGAATATTGTGTTTAAAAAGAGACAATACTATTAGATACATTCTTTTGATTATATATTTTAAAGTTTTTGTGTGCTTAGCGTAACATCTGCCTGGTGTATTAATTACGAATTTGAAACAGGAGACGTTTTTTTTTAAACCTTGACCGAGACGACATTTTTCCCATTCCCATTATATGGTAATTTTGCCTAGTGCAAGCTGTATCGGATCTTGATGTGTTCGCCAGATGTAACCATTTGTGTGATGAGTGGTTTCCCTTTTGTTTTGGTTTTATGTGTGTACTTTTTGGTCTGTTGGTAGACTCGCGTGTAGCACATTCAGAAAAACGTGTTTTCTAACACAAGTAGGAGACTCGTGTGTAGCACATTGAGAAAAACGTGTTTTGTAACGCAATGGGAAGAGCGTGTTTTTTAGCACATGGAGAAAAGCGTGTTTTTAGCACAGTGTAAAGAGCGTGTTTTTAAAACAAGAAATACATTTTCTTGATTAGAATTTCTTGCAGGTTTTTTTTTCAGCAGCCTAATCCTCACAGAGCAGTATCGATGTTAATTTTTTCCTGGCATGGTAACACTTTGTATTGGTCTTGTCAGTGGCGTAGCGAGGGGGGGCGAGGGGGGGGGGTTGCGGATCGCACCGGGTGACACCATTTAGGGGGGTGACACCAAGGCAAAAAATAGCAAAATATATAGATAGATAATAATTCCACTTAATTAAGTGATTAAGTTTGGGGGGGGGGGGGGGGGGGGGGCTGCAAATCGAAAGTTTGAGGGGGAGGGGGGGGGGTGTGCAAATCGAAAATTGAAAGGTTGATCCAGAGAGCGCGCCAAATTGAAAGTTTGTTCCCCCGGGCACAGGAAGGGTTGCTACGCCTCTGGGAGGGTGACACCATTAAGTGCCGCACCGGGTGACACCCGACCTCGCTACGCCACTGGGTCTTGTGTACAACGACTAGCTCTTTACTCTGCGAGAGAACCTGGTTTTGATAACAGTCATTAATGGGTTTTTATTTTAGCACCTCTTGCCAAATTTTAGTTTTATTGGTACTGATTCGCTCACCAAGGTCAGAGAAACGGATGAACTCTACTTCATCTGTTCCATTCACCATATGGACACCCATTTCCTAGACACGGTTTAGTGGAAGTTTAATATGTCTGGTTTTGCAACCCTTACATTTACTCTAACATCAGCAATACAGTGATACACAACAGAGGCGTAGCGACCCTTCCCGGCGCCCGGGGACAAACTTTTCGATTTGCACACCCCCCCCCTCAAACTTTCGATTTGCACACCCCCCCCCTCAAGATTTCGATTTTGCACCCCCCCCCCCTCAAACTTTCGATTTGCATCCCCCTCAACCTTTCAATTTATTTTTCGAACCCATTTTGGCGCCCGAATACATATGTCCCCCCCCCCCAGTGTTTCTTCCAGACTTTTTTCCGATATTTAGCGGCATAAGCATTCCAGGCGGGGAGGAAGGATGTAGTTATTCCTCACGGTAGACAATTTTCCCCTCTGGATATATGAAAAGCGTAAAAATAAGTTACCATTTAGGTAACTAACGCGCAACGGGGTAGGTGAAGTAGAGTGCACCTGTTTCCGCGACCTCGGTATATGCAGGGGGATAGTGTGTTCGATTCTATGCCAACTATCGGTCGATAACGCAGGTAAAGTAGAGTCCACCTGTTTCCTTGATCTCGGTATATGCAGGGATAGTGTGTTCGATTATGTGCCAACCGCCTTTACTTTCCTCACTGTGAGTCAGGTACCCAATAGAGCTGAGTGGACTCGCTGAGTCCTAAACCAGGATCCGAACCTGATGTATTATATATATATATATATATATATATATATATATATATATATATATATATATATATATATATTATACATGTACATAATGTTAGTAGCCGTCTTAGTCCTCCGACTTGGTAATGAAGTAAGTATAGGGGCGGTAAAATTGTTAATCCGGGCTGTAGCGATCTGTCACCTTCTAGTGACGTCACCCACCACCTGGAAATAATGCATTCATCAGTATAACAGTTACATTTTTTAAACTGTCAGCCCATCACGAACTCAATTAATTTTTTTTTTACACACCAAAGCACTTCTTATCGGTGCTAAAATACAGAATACCCAGTATTTGGGAACAGAGTTTCTTCCAGGGGGGGGGGGTGGCAGAGACCACACGAAGTAAGTCAACAACACCCCCCCCCCCCCCGACGAAATGGAATTAATATAGAAAACATATACTTTTACCAGCCTCGCCCCCCCCCCCCCCCCCGGAAAATGTTGTTCCGCCCCCCCCCCCCCCTCGGAGAAAAAAGTCTGGAAGAAACACTGCTTGGGAATATTTCTTTTACCACTTGTAACTTACACTGAACTTCTAAAGCATATAATACACACTTTTTCTTTGTTAGAATATGTCATCAAAGACCACGTACTCATTAACTATATTCACAATTTCTCAAAATAATTACCTGACTTTGTAGGGTCACCCAGCTGATAATTTATGACCTCCAAAGCGAGGCTTCCCTGCAGTGTGACCCGGATGAAAAATGAGCTCGAGCTTCTTTCGTCATCTGTGGGCGTGGCGTACGGTGTTGATCCTGCTTTTGACCCCTCTTCTACTTCTACCAATCATCCTGATCTTAGGCTCATCGGTAAGTGTGTGATGTTTTTTTTTTAAATACTGATTTTGTTCTTGTGTGTTTTGAACGTAAACTTGTTATACCTGTATCTAAGTAAGTTTAACCTGCTAATTAAACACGTTTTAAAATGAGTCTAATTTCTCATCAAAATAGTGGTCACCCATAAAGTCAAGTATTGTATAGAGATTATATCCTTTACTATCATTACATCATCATCTTATCCCGTTTTGTGCCCAAGATACACGGGGCAGAGGAAGTAGAGTTTATCTGTTTCAATGATCGCGACAAACAAAGGGTTATTGTGATCAGCCCTTAGCCCAGCCGTCTTTGTTTCCCTAACGTGAGTTAGGTATCTATCAGAAATGGGTGGACATTCTGCTGGTTTGAACCGGGATTCGAACTTGAGACTTTCGGGTTAGCAGTCTAGCTCTTTATCATTACATGTCGTCACTGAAAATCAACCCTTTCTTCCCCACCACCTTTGTAAAGAAAACAAAGGAACCGAAAGAGGAACAAAAGACAACCCCCCCCCCCCCCTAAAACAAACAAAACAAAGACAGTATTGTAGCCTTGAGTTAGGCTAGTGTTTATGTTTTACAAGTGTCAATTACATAACTCTTTACGGCCTGAGCCCCTACCCTAAAGCTCCTGTTAACACCATTTTTTTTTCGGTACAGATAAACATTATAAAACGTACGTTGTAAATCGTGTCTTGGTTTATATCGCTGGCTACCAGGTTTTGACAAGTCGTATATCGTGTTAACATAAACCTCATATCACTTATTGTGTTTTTGTTTGTTTGGGGAGGGGTGGGGGTAATTTAACCAGCTACAATAGCTGCGTACATAGACCTTCCTCAAACTTTTGTTAATAACGGTAAGACAATTGAGAAAGTTATATGTTCAGTATAATCTATGTCTGCAATAATAAATAAAATCAGTATGTTTTATAATCCCTTTTATTCCCCATTTTTTAAAAGATATATATAGGGCCTATATATATATATATATATATATATATATATATATATATATATATATATATATATATATATATATGTATATAGGGCCTGTATAGTTAAAATCTACTCTGCTAACCATGTTGTCCTAAAAACTAATCTTGGACAAGGGTGTGTGAAGGAATTAAAACGAGATGACCAGTCTTTATTCGGGGGTATTTGAAGCTTTCTCGGAGGAGGGGGGGATAGAGGGCGTACTAAAATTTCCGGTGGCTAGGGTAGGACATCGGTCATTTGATTTTATATATATATATATATATATATATATATATATATAATATTTTTTCTCTATTTTATTCGGGGCGGGGGGGGGGGGGGGGGGGGTTAATACCCCTCGAAGGAATGCCTGAAAGAGACCCTGGAGTTAACTCATATTATACTGCAAAAAAAAAAAAATGCTTCTCAGTATTCATAAGTCCCAATGTTAAAAAATCAAATTTTTTGTAGTAGCTAGTAATGTATCTACCTCTAACCACACGTCCATTACTGAAGTGCCATCTTTGTCTTTGGTCACCACAGGAAGCAAAATGTGCCTATGTGGTCATCCTAATGGCGGTGTACTGGATCACGGAGTCCCTCCCAGTGGGCGTGACGGCCTTGATCCCAGTTTTTCTGTTTCCGGTTTTCGAAATCATCTCATCCAGTGACGTAGCAGCCCAGTATATGAACGTAAGTGGGTTAAAATTATCTCCATTCATGGTTTTAGTTTACATTTTTACTATGTGTGTTTTTCTGAATTATTTGGTCTCTCTGTAATTGTTAATGTGTATGTGCCAAATTAAAAAAAAAATTCAGCCGTGATAAAACAGTTCAACGACGATGGTGAGGTGATAGATTGATTGCTAGAATTTTATGTATCTTGCCCTTTCTTACTGAATGTATTAATTTTTAAATTAAATTTTAAATACTAAATAAATGTGTCATTTATGGAATGGCGAGGTCGAAAGGAGGAGCGTTCGACTAATAACCCGAAAGTCTCGAGTTCGAATCCGGGTTCCAATCCGTAGAAAATCCCTGAGTTCACACAGCTTTGATGGGAACCTGAATCACGTTAGAGGAAGTAAAAGCAGCTGGGTGTAATGCTGACCACACTATCCTTTTATTCGCCAAAGTCACAAAAGCGGGTGAACTCAACTTCACTTGCGATTTGGACCGTCATATTCGAAAGGGAACTTTATTTACTTTAATGTCTAATTAGATTAAAAAATATATATTCTTGCATTGTCACCGGAGAAGAATGTATCTGGAAAGTCAATGAAATCGCTGCACTAGAAGTGGGTTGAATTTAAGTTACAAGATTTAATTTGCCAAATCTGACAAACAAAAACGAAAAAAAAAAAAAATAAACAAACAAAAACATCAACAAACAAACATTGCATAATGAATAAAAATTTTTTATTAAAGATTCAAGCTTTTGTTGTTTTTAAAGGTTAAAATTATACATTTAACCAAAAAAATGAAATTAGAAATGAAAACTCCCGGAATTAACTTCGAATCATCAAACGTGTTTTTTTAAATTCTCCCCATGCAGGATGTAAACATGCTGTTTATTGGAGGGTTGATGATCGCCATTGGCATCGAGTACTGGGAGCTCCATAGGCGTGTCGCACTCATGGTTCTCATGTGGGTGGGGGCTGAACCTAGGTGGTAAGTGTTTTAGTTGCGTTTTTAAACATTTTTTTTCTTAGTAAGATATAAATCACCAGTTAGCAAGCAGCAAACGTAACGCTGACTGATGCTGTGAGCTATTTAATAGAATCTTACACGGTGCAATCAACTTTAAATATCATTTGGTGGGAGTTGCGTCCCTTGTTAAAATAAAAAAATTGCAGGGAGACAACCTATAAATATGTCAAATGTCTCCAAAATATAGAGACATTCTGAACTAATACAATTTTTTAAAATCATTGTTAAATTTAACATTCAAATAAAAATTGACCAACATATTTGTTTACTTGAATTTGCATAATCAATGGTATTGAGTGAAGATAACGATAAAGTAAAACTGACTTGCAGTTTTTTAAAAGTTTAGTTTTAATCAACTAATGGAAGGAATAAAAATAAATATTTACAAAGTGAAACTGTTATCATACAAATATTCATCGGTAAAAAATAATTCTTCAGAAAAACGCAATGTTATTTTTTGTCAACGATATATTACACGGGTTCCCAAACTGGGGGTCGCGAAGGGCCCTCTGGGGGTCGCCAACTGGTATACTAAACCTTAGAAATGAGAAACAAAATAAATATTTAGAAGAATATCTGAAATTCGGCTTTAGTAACATCACTGGAAAGGGACTAGAGTAGAAGCCATGCGTACTGTACAAAGTTGTTCTCAGTCACGAGCTTATAAAATCTTCAAAACTAAAACGTCATTTGAGACGAGTTATTCGGAACACACCAAAAAATATATAGAGTTCCTTCGTCGGCATGAAACTAGTTGTAAACGTCAGAGACTTGATCGAACAGGAAGTTTTCACCAAGGAAACACGGCATTAGTGCAAGCATAATATGAAATCGCGATAGAAAATGTCAAGCAAAAGAAAACACAATAGGATAAAATCTCACCAAACGCTTCATGTTGAAGAAGTTAATTCTTGGGAATTCCAGTGCAGTAAAGATGCAACAAATATCTCTGCCTAATAATACTATTCAGCGGCTTATAGCAGACATGTCCGTAGATGTTAAACAACACATTTTTATTGAGATCAAGCTTTCACCATTGTTTGCTTTTCAAGTTGATAAATCAACAGACTTGAGTTCGTGATCGCAGTTGTTGGTCTTTGTCTATATTCATTCAGATGATAGAAAAGAAGAGTTGCTATTTTTTGAAGATAGCATGGAAAACAAGTTAATAAAAAGTCTAGTGACAATTTAAGCGCAATTTCCTTATGTTATCCATAACAATTTTTAATTTTTTGTTACCGAACGAAAAGATATTTTTGAAAACTTTCTTCAGCAATATTGTTCTAAATAATGGCAGGAATCGATTGGTAAATGTTTCAAGTCGCTAAGTGGCCTAGTTGCCGAGATATGAAAAAAAAACTGCATTTTTTTGAGGTTTTTTAGCTTTTCCGGGAAATCCAGGAAGGAATTCCGGGAATTTTTTTGGCCTACAATCATCCTCGGAACTTGCTTAACATATTTGCTTTGGAACTAGTCCTCGATATTGCTTCGTTGAGGAGGAGATACGACTTAAAGCTGCGGACACACATCCATCCATCCATCACCAGAAATGACGAGTTAATAATCGCAATAGTCCAGTATGGAAATTGCGCTAAAAATAAATACGTTTTATGAAACTGGATGATTAAAATGCGTTAAAACGGCTGTGGGGGCTTGTACGGATGGTGCGCCATCTATGTTTGGGTCAAAATCGGGCTTTCAGAAAACAGAAAAGATTTAGCTCCCTAACCACTGTCGTAACTTATATCAAATCTGGAACTTTCAAAGAACTGTACAAAGACATTAATAAAGATCATGAGGTTCTGCTTTTCTACACTACAGTATGCTGGCTGTCAAAAGGAAATGTAAATCGTGTTGTTGAATTGAAAGCTGAAATCAAGTTGTTCTTCAAAGTACAAATGAAACAAGACCTTTTGGTATACTTAAAAAGACATAGAGTGGTTGGAGAGAGTATCATACCTAGCAGATGTATTCGAACATCAACATAAGCTTAACCTGAAGCTTCAGGGAAAATGAACGAATATTATCACTTTCTATAATAATCTGGTGGCATTTTTATCAAAGCTGCAAAATCGGCGAAGAAAATACATCTTGGAAATATTGCCATGTTTGAGAACTTTGCAGTGTAGTAGATGAATCTGATTGTGAGATAGTTAACATTTTGAAAGAAGCGATTTCTGGGCATCTTGAATCTCTTGAAAACGAACTGCAGCGCTATTTCTCTGAGCTGAAAAAAGAAAAATCGCATTGACGCATTACCCATTCTCTTCTTCCCTTGATGTTGCCAGCATTCCCGATGAATTACAAGATGAATTCTTTGATTCGCAGAATGATTCCGCGTAGGATGAAAAACTGCACACACAATTTTGGTGTAGTATTCACCATTCATACCCAAACGTAAAATGGATTGAATTTTCGAGAATAGATTTTCAACACTATTCTCCGATTAAAAACAAAATTAAGAAATAAATTGAAGGTTGATAATGAAATAGGTTGGCGTTAACAAAAACTTAACCGCGAATGTTTAGTAAATAACATGTAATTTTACTCATGGTATTAAAACAGTTATCAAGGGTAGTTCATATTGAAAGTCTACTAGAAAAAGCTTATTTTAGTGCTTATAAATTTCCATACTAATTTCGGCGTTTTAATTCTATGGGGGTCGCGGGTCACTTACTTTTTATAAAAGGGGGTCGCCACTCGAAAAAGTTTGGGAACCAGTGATCTATTAGATGTAGATGTAAGCAGGTGCGTGTGTTCATCATAGGCTGATGCTTGGTATGATGCTGGGTATGATGTTTGTGTCTTGTACCCTCTAGGCTGGGTATGATGTTTGTGTCATGTACCCTCTAGGCTGGGTATGATGTTTGTGTCTTGTACCCTCTAGGTTGGGTATGATGTTTGTGTCTTGTACCCTCCAGGCTGGGTATGATGTTTGTGTCTTGTACCCTCTAGACTGGGTATGATGTTTGTGTCTTGTACCCTCTAGGCTGGGTATGATGTTTGTGTCTTGTACACTCTAGGCTGATGCTGGGTATGATGTTTGTGTCTTGTACCCTCTAGGCTGGGTATGATGTTTGTGTCTTGTACCCTCTAGGCTGGGTATGATGTTTGTGTCTTGTACCCTCTAGGTTGGGTATGATGTTTGTGTCTTGTACCCTCTAGGCTGGGTATGATGTTTGTGTCTTGTACCCTCTAGGCTGGGTATGATGTTTGTGTCTTGTACCCTCTAGGCTGGGTATGATGTTTGTATCTTGTACCCTCCAGGCTGGGTATGATGTTTGTGTCATGTACCCTCTAGGCTGGGTATGATGTTTGTGTCTTGTACTCTCTAGGCTGGGTATGATGTTTGTGTCTTGTACCCTCTAGGCTGGGTATGATGTTTGTGTCTTGTACCCTCTAGGCTGGGTATGATGTTTGTGTCTTGTACACTCTAGGCTGATGCTGGGTATGATGTTTGTGTCTTGTACCCTCTAGGCTGGGTATGATGTTTGTGTCTTGTACCCTCTAGGCTGGGTATGATGTTTGTGTCTTGTACCCTCTAGACTGGGTATGATGTTTGTGTCTTGTACCCTCTAGGCTGGATATGATGTTCGTGTCTTGTACCCTCTAGGCTGGGGATGATGTTTGTGTCTTGTACCCTCTAGGCTGGGTATGATGTTTGTGTCTTGTACCCTCTAGGCTGATGCTGGGGATGATTTTTGTGTCTTGTACCCTCTAGGCTGGGTATGATGTTTGTGTCTTGTACCCTCTAGGCTGGGTATGATGTTTGTGTCTTGTACCCTCTAGGCTGGGTATGATGTTTGTGTCTTGTACCATCTAGGCTGGGTATGATGTTTGTGTCTTGTACCCTCTAGGCTGGGTATGATGTTTGTGTCTTGTACCCTCTAGGCTGGGTATGATGTTTGTGTCTTGTACCCTCTAGGCTGGGTATGATGTTTGTGTCTTGTACCCTCTAGGCTGGGGATGATGTTTGTGTCTTGTACCCTCTAGGCTGGGTATGATGTTTGTGTCTTGTACCCTCTAGGCTGGGTATGATGTTTGTGTCTTGTACCCTCTAGGCTGGGTATGATGTTTGTGTCTTGTACCCTCTAGGCTGGGTATGATGTTTGTGTCTTGTACCCTCTAGGCTGGGTATGATGTTTGTGTCTTGTACCCTCTAGGCTGGGTATGATGTTTGTGTCTTGTACCTTCTAGGCTGGGTATGATGTTTGTGTCTTGTACCCTCTAGACTGGGTATGATGTTTGTGTCTTGTACCCTCTAGGCTGGGTATGATGTTTGTGTCTTGTACCCTCTAGGCTGGGTATGATGTTTGTGTCTTGTACCCTCTAGGCTGGGTATGATGTTTGTGTCTTGTACCCTCTAGGCTGGGTATGATGTTTGTGTCTTGTACCCTCTAGGCTGGGTATGATGTTTGTGTCTTGTACCCTCTAGGCTGGGTATGATGTTTGTGTCTTGTACCCTCTAGGCTGGGTATGATGTTTGTGTCTTGTACCCTCTAGGCTGGGTATGATGTTTGTGTCTTGTACCCTCTAGGCTGGGTATGATGTTTGTGTCTTGTACCCTCTAGGCTGGGTATGATGTTTGTGTCTTGTACTCTCTAGGCTGGGTATGATGTTTGTGTCTTGTACCCTCTAGGCTGGGTATGATGTGTGTGTCTTGTACCCTCTAGGCTGGGTATGATGTTTGTGTCTTGTACCCTCTAGGCTGGGTATGATGTTTGTGTCTTGTACCCTCTAGGCTGATGCTGGGTATGATGTTTGTGTCTTGTACCCTCTAGGTTGGGTATGATGTTTGTGTCTTGTACCCTCTAGGCTGATGCTGGGTATGATGTTTGTGTCTTGTACCCTCTAGGTTGGGTATGATGTGTGTGTCTTGTACCCTCTAGGCTGGGTATGATGTTTGTGTCTTGTACCCTCTAGGCTGGGTATGATGTTTGTGTCTTGTACCTTCTAGGCTGGGTATGATGTTTGTGTCTTGTACCCTCTAGGCTGGGTATGATGTTTGTGTCTTGTACCCTCTAGGCTGATGCTGGGTATGATGTTTGTGTCTTGTACCTTCTAGGCTGGGTATGATGTTTGTGTCTTGTACCCTCTAGGCTGGGTATGATGTTTGTGTCTTGTACCCTCTAGGCTGATGCTGGGTATGATGTTTGTGTCTTGTACACTCTAGGTTGGGTATGATGTTTGTGTCTTGTACCCTCTAGGCTGATGCTGGGTATGATGTTTGTGTCTTGTACCCTCTAGGCTGGGTATGATGTGTGTGTCTTGTACCCTCTAGGCTGGGTATGATGTTTGTGTCTTGTACCCTCTAGGCTGGGTATGATGTTTGTGTCTTGTACCTTCTAGGCTGGGTATGATGTTTGTGTCTTGTACCCTCTAGGCTGGGTATGATGTTTGTGTCTTGTACACTCTAGGCTGATGCTGGGTATGATGTTTGTGTCTTGTACCCTCTAGGCTGGGTATGATGTTTGTGTCTTGTACCCTCTAGGCTGGGTATGATGTTTGTGTCTTGTATCCTCTAGGCTGATGTTGGGTATGATGTTTGTGTCTTGTACCCTCTAGGCTGGGTATGATGTTTGTGTCTTGTACCCTCTAGGCTCGGTATGATGTTTGTGTCTTGTACCCTCTAGGCTGGGTATGATGTTTGTGTCTTGTACCCTCTAGGCTGGGTATGATGTTTGTGTCTTGTACCCTCCAGGCTGATGCTGGGTATGATGTTTGTGCCTTGTACCCTCTAGGCTGGGTATGATGTTTGTGTCTTGTACCCTCTAGGCTGGGTATGATGTTTGTGTCTTGTACCCTCCAGGCTGATGCTGGGTATGATGTTTGTGTCTTGTACCCTCTAGGCTGGGGATGATGTTTGTGTCTTGTACCCTCTTGGTTGATGCTGGGTATGATGTTTGTGTCTTGTACCCTCCAGGCTGATGCTGGGTATGATGTTTGTGTCTTGTACCCTCCAGGCTGATGCTGGGTATGATGTTTGTGCCTTGTACCCTCCAGGCTGATGCTGGGTATGATGTTTGTGTCTTGTACCCTCTAGGCTGATGTTGGGGATGATGTTTGTGTCTTGTACCCTCTAGGCTGGGTATGATGTTTGTGTCTTGTACCCTCTAGGCTGGGTATGATGTTTGTGTCTTGTACCCTCTAGGCTGGGGATGATGTTTGTGTCTTGTACCCTCTTGGTTGATGCTGGGTATGATGTTTGTGTCTTGTACCCTCCAGGCTGATGCTGGGTATGATGTTTGTGTCTTGTACCCTCCAGGCTGATGCTGGGTATGATGTTTGTGCCTTGTACCCTCCAGGCTGATGCTGGGTATGATGTTTGTGTCTTGTACCCTCTAGGCTGATGTTGGGGATGATGTTTGTGTCTTGTACCCTCTAGGCTGGGTATGATGTTTGTGTCTTGTACCCTCTAGGCTGGGTATGATGTTTGTGTCTTGTACTCTCCAGGCTGATGCTGGGCATGATGCTGGCCACCTGGTTCCTGTCCATGTGGATCTCTAACACGGCCACCACGGCCATGATGATCCCCATCACAGAGGCTGTGCTGGTACAGCTCAAGGGCACCGGGCAGAAAACTGTAGGACAGGGCAGCGGGCAGAAAGCTGAAGGTTAGTGTGGTTCGTGTTTTTCTTCTTATTCAATTTGTGTTCAAATCTTTTAGTTTACTTTATTTTAAAAATTTATTTGTGTGGGTGGGGGGTGTCTCCCCACATCTACTGTCGAATTTCATTGAAAAAAAGATAAAACCACTAACATTGTTAAAGAATAAAACACTTTATCTTAGGTCGCCTTTACCCCCATTCCTACATCCCATCCTCACATAGAACATCGTCAGTATGATCCCCTCCCTCTTGGGTATTCATCATCTTTTACCATTTGTAAAGTAGAGTTAATCTGTTTCAATGAACTCGACATACAAGGGGATAATGTGATCAGCACTATGCCCAGCCGCCTTTGTTTCACTGATAGGTACCCATCAGAGCTGGGACGGCTTAGGAACGTTCTACTCGAACTCGAGACTTTCGGGTTAGCAGTCTAGCGCCCTACAGCTAGACCACGTCGTCCCTCCTACGTGGTGTCGTCTTTAAAGACGTCCTTCCCCTTTTGTTAATTAATTAAAAATCTGGTATAAACAGAGTTGTCCTTGCCGTTATACCACACCTTAGAGGTTCAAACTCAAGGTTTTAAAAAGCCTAGAGCGAGGCTCCACCCTTTCATACCACCCCTCCTCTCATGGTGTCCGTTCTACATCGTCACAAACTTTCGACCAGGGGTGGACTGGATATGTCCAGGAGGCCTGGGAGATTTTAAAAGGGGGTCCTACCCCCAACCCCAGATAAAATTTTCAATGCGCGTTTTCACTCTCCATCAATGCCTGAATTTGACGCATTGCTATGAAGAAATGAAAAGAGTAAAATGGAGAAATAGCTACAAATTTTTTTTTATTTTAAAACATCTAAACACTAATAGGACTATTACATCACATGCACTGCGTTGGGGGGGGGGGATGGGGGGGCGAGGGTTTTTTTTCCTTGGGGGCCACCTGGATTTTTGCTGGTAGATCGGCATGCCAGTCCACCCCTCCCCCTCCCGTTTAGAAGTGCGGTGTCATATCTGGGACACCCCCCCCCCCCCCCCGCAAAAAACCCAACGAAAAACAAAAAACAAACAAAAACTTCTAAATATAAAAAAAACTTCTAAATCAAAAACTTATAAAAACGCTTAAGTCAAGATCATTCTTGAACCGAATTTCTCATCAGATCCGGATAACTTGGAGCTGAAAGTAGTGCTGCAGGAGAACGGTAAAGCGGCGGATCACTACGACGTTGAAAGCAACGAGAAGTAAGCCTATATGAGTTTACAAATGTATTCTTACATTACATTTTCGTGTGTAAAATTAATAAATCGCTCGATAAAATTAGTTTTGCGAATCAAAATACTACTGTTCAAACTAATGTTTGAAAAAATAGAACAATATTGCGACTGCTTACATAAGTTAAGTTCCCTTTTCGAACCTGACGGTCAATGGGGCAGGTTAAGTAGATTTCACCGGTTTCTATGAACTCGGCATATGAAGAGATAGTGTGGTCAGCACTATGCCCAGCCGCCTTTATTTTTTCTAACTTGGGTTAGGTACCCATCAGGGCTGGGTAGACTCAATGACGTTCTGCTGACTTGAACCCGGATTCGAACTCGAGACTGTCGGGTAGCAATGTATGTATGGATCATCTACAAATAGACTCAAACTCCAGACATAAGGAGGACAAGTAATTAAAAATGCAACTGTTCATAATTATGTGTTTTATGAGAAGTTTTTTTTTTAAATAATAATAATAATAATCATAATGGCCATCTTTATAAATATCAGGTTCGAGATGTTTTTATCATTCTGGTATCAAACACATATTAATAATATCCTTTAGTCATCTCTCATATTTAATTATCTAAAGTTAGGTATTTAACGATGGTTAAAGTAGAAGTAGTTCAGCATAGGGGAACATATCTTATTTTTGTTTTGTTCAAAATTATCATCATTAAAAGAATTATCCTTTATTTTTAAAAAAACCTAAACAATACTAAAAAAAGTTTTTAAAATATTGTTTTCAACCAGATCTGTTGCCAGTAAAACTCCCGCCTCACAAGAGAAAGCCACACCGTTAGAGGAACCGGGCGAAGACGAGGACGACGCCCACTTTAAAAGGCTCTGCAAAGGGATGTCACTGTGTATCTGCTACGCGGCCAACTCGGGCGGTATCGCAAGTCTCACCGGCACGGGGCCCAATCTGGCCCTCAAGGCCCACGCTGACACGTAAGTCGGAAAATCGCAAGTCTCAACGGCAACTACTTATAAAGCGTTTGTATTAAGTTGTTCCCATGGTATCTACCAGAGTTTCTTCCACCCCCCCCCCCCCCGAAGAAAGTCTACCGCCCCCCGAACGAGATTGAATTTATATAGTAAACATACACTTTTACCAGTGTCTGCCCCCTCCCCCCCGAAAATATCAAGTGCCCCCCCCCCCCCCCCCCCACGGAGAAAAAATTCTGGAAGAAACACTGGTGTGTACAGCCTCAGTTCTAATCATGTACCCCGCCCCTCACTCTCAGCTTTTGTATCGAGAAGTGAATGACGAAGCGCAAAGGATCTATATTAACGGATGGAGTGACACACTACCAAGCGGCGTACATTACAGATTAAAGCGAAATTACTATTCACACACGCCCCATCCTAACCTAATCTGTTATAGCTGGGTTAAAATAATGTAAACACATAATCCAAAGTTGAATATGTAAATGTAAATTAAGTCTGCTTTGAAGATTACGAAAAAATATTCGACTTTATAATTCAGGTGAATAATTTTTTTTTTAAATTTGGTTTGAAGATTGTACGAAAAAAGTCACCTGTCTAACCCAGTGACGTTTGGCACCTGGATGGCGTTTGGTCTGCCCCTGTCTGTACTGGTCCTCCTCGTCTGCTGGTGCTGGTTACAGGTGGCCTTTCTAAGATGCAGGTGAGAACTTTTAATCCGTAATCCATATAATCCATGACCATAGCTTTCGTGATTTTTTTCTTTAAGTTAGTAATAAAATCTTATATTATTTATTCATCAAAAACAACATTTTAGCCATAAGTATAACATTCTAGTTTATTTTTATTTTGAGTTAATAAAAATCTTGCTTTAATTATTCATCAAAACCTAAACTATATGTAAAATAGTTTAAATTAATATTAGTACAGTTTGAATGCTAAGCCACTTTGATTGCTTAATGGGTTGCTTCCCTTTTCTTTTGTTACCTCGAGAAAATGATAAATTAGCCACACAAAAATATTAATTCGGAAATAAATTTTAAATAGAAATTAATACTTTAATTTTTATATTACGAAAGTACTTTAAAAATCGTTAGTCTTATTTTAATTAGTCGTATATCAGTGATTTAATAAAAAGAACATTTTCTTCCTTAAAGTTGTAAACGGTCAACACCATAAATAAACAATGTATATTTGTTTAAGAGGGGCATGCAGCTGTTGCAGTAAGAAGAAAGACAGCGACCAGTCTAAAAGAATAAAAGCAGTCATTAGTGACGAATACAACAAACTGGGACCACTAGTGTGAGAAAATAGATTTTTTAAAATGTAAAGTAACTAAAATTTATAACTTGACTGACGATTTGTATAAGCAAAATGACACACTGTGACTCCCTAAACGAAAAAGTTTAAAATCTTAGAATAATGCAGAGTTAGGGTTAATTTTATTAATGCATATGTGTGTAAAAGAATATTTCATTCAACCGTTGCAGGTTCGGGCAGGTGATGATCATTATTCTGTTTGTGGTGCTGGTCACTTTGTGGATAACACGTGACCTCGGAGGCGTGGCCGGATGGGGAACTCTCTTCAAGCCCGAGTAATCATTGTTTTACGGTTCATTGAACTAGATATAAACATTACTTAACACTTAGCATTTGTAGTTAGGTGCTTTATCTGATATTGACGGAGCTTTAGACACTAATACTTGCATTAAATTATTTTCAGGGTCAAAGATGGCGCCGCAGCCATCTTGATTTCCGTCCTGCTGTTTGCCCTCCCCTCCACCCTCCCGTGTTTGAAAAGCTACTCCGACCCGGCGCACCCTCAGAAGTGGGAGAGGGCAAAGTTCAAGGGCGTGGACAGCGAGCTGGTCCGGTGTAAGTCTTGTGTGTCTTTGTGAGTGTCCGTGCATATGTATGTGTGTGGGTGTCTGAGTGCGTTCGTGTGTGTGTATATGCGCGTGCATGAGTGCTTGTCCGTGTGCATTCGAGAGTGTATATATATATATATATATATATATATATATATATATATATATATATATATATATATATATATATATATATATATATATATATATATATATATATATACGTGTGCACATGTGTATGTGAAAGTTGCTCCATATGTCTAATGCGACCTGATTAGTATTCCACCTTCTACCTCCCACAAAAATGCTCAAACCCTTTTGGTTATGTGTAAACAACAGCAGTAAAGCAACTTCTTTGAATTGTCATTTAGCAACTCATAATAATTTGACCGTGCCAACAAATACTCACACACACAAAACTAGATGAAATAGAAAATGAAATAATAGAACATGAAATAGAACATGAAATAGAACATGAAATAGAACATAAATAGAACATAAAATAGAACATGAAATAGAACATGAAATATCACATGAAATATCACATGAATTATCACATGAAATAAAAGTAACATTTGTGTAGCTAAACTATTTAAGTGTAAACAAAACATTATTATTTCCCAAGTTGGACCTCTAGAGATCCGCCCTCTGCTCAACTGGAAGGTTGTCCACGAGAAGATGCCCTGGCATCTGTTTCTGCTGCTTGGTGGCGGATATGCCCTGTCACGTGGGTGTGAGGTCAGTATATACTTAATTTGTACTTTAGGCAATGAGTACGTTGCGCATTAGTGTGTTTGTGTGTGTGTAGGTGGGGGAGAGTGTAATGGACGGTAACCACCCTCATCAGTATAACACAACATAACACAATATAACACAATGATAAACCACCCCTATCATCCCTCTTGTGTTAAATGATACATGAATAATTCCTTCCCCCTGTTGTGAAAAGTGTATTCCAATAAAACAGAAAAGGGAAATAACTCTAAGATTACCAAGTACAGCAAGATACTTTTGCGTATTTTGTAAATAATTCGAGTAAGGTTCGGTATAGATTTTTTTCTATTTCCTAAATTTAGTCAATTTTATAGTTTAAAAAATGAACGGAAGTTCCCATCTGCAAAGAAAAGTAAAAAAAAATGACCATATATTAGAATGAAGCTTGCGGTAAAAGTTAGGGTAACTGTTTGTTTTTAAAACAAATATTGCGTTGGGACAACATGATATAATTATGCTTTTACAGTGTGTTCGTTTTAAAAAAATAGCCTAATTCTAACATTATGTCGAGGCATTACAAGTTGGACGACATAGGCCTATAAAGAGAAATAGTTGTCATTTTGGATGTTTGTTTGTGTGGAAAGTTCTCCCCCCCCCCCCCCATACCCCACCACACCACACATACTGTAACGTACCTACGCCACTGCCAAAAACATAAATCTTTCAATCCTTGTGATTGTGTTTACAGTAAAATCAACTGGACTTGAGGTGCTTTTAAAAAAAAAATTTAATCACCTTTTGTAAGGGAGACAACTCAAATATTATTTTAAAAAAGAAATCCTAATTTCAATTCGGGTTAGAGTCAAAGAGTCGTGGTTTTGCTTTTTTCTTTTTTTAAATCACCGTATGGAAGGGAGACAACTCAATTATTATTATTAAAAAATACTAGTTTTAATTCGGGTTAGAGTCAGAGAGTTGTGTTTTGCTTTTTTATTTGGTTTAGCAGCTTATGGAAGGGAGACAATATTTAAAAAAGTAAATCTTAGTTTCAATACGGGATTAGTATTTTGACTTGTTTCCCTTGACCATTTTCAGAAGTCCGGCCTGTCCCTGTGGATCGGCACCCAGCTGTCCTTCCTGAGTGGCTGGAACCAGTGGGGCATTCTCTTCATCATCTGCTACCTGACCGCAGCACTGACCGAAGTGACGTCAAACACCGCCATAGCCACACTCTTGATGCCCATCATGTCTCAGCTGGTAGGTTACTTAGGTCTACATGGACATACATGTATGCTCATACACATACATTATATGGGAATAGGCATATATATATATATATATATATATATATATATATATATATATATATATATATATATATACATATGTGTGTGTATGGCAAGTCCGAATAGAGGCTAATGCGTGCGCGCGCGAACACACACATATATATTATTTTGTAAACAAATCCCTATTCCCCCCTATATATATATATATATATATATATATATATATATATATATATATATATATATATAAGGCCTAAAAGTACTTTGCAATGTTATGTAACCTGTGTTACCGTGTTGCAGGCTCTCACCACATGTGTCCATCCACTGTACTACATGCTACCCACTGCCCTCTCCTGCTCCTTCGCCTTTATGCTGCCTGTAGCCACGCCCCCTAACGCCATTGTTTTCGCCTACGGGAGAATTAAAATTGCCGACATGGTAAGCTCAACAGTAGCAGTCTTTCCTGTTTTACTTTTTAAAATAATCTTTTTTAATTATCTTATAATTAAGCATATGATTTTTCTAAACGTAATTTAATTAATTCAGCACATTTGAAAAATATATACTCTCAAACCATTAAATCAAGAGTCGTTTCTAATGTTATATATAAATTGTAAACTATTATAATGGCCATCAGTAAATAACTTAAAGCAAATGAAGATATTTTATACTCCGTTTTCCTATCGTCGTGAATATTCCAAACACATATATCACACCATTCCCATAAAAAATAGCATCACATCTTTTGCAGAAACTCGCCCTTAAAATAGATATAGATCTAGTTATAACCAAAACAGGATTTTCATAATTTTTGTTCTTTAAAATACAAAATATGTGTTAGTCACATTTCTTGAGCCCTTCCATCCCCTTAACCCGTGTAACACATCTTCAAAAAACTGTGATTACTCCCCATTCGCCATAGCTATGTATATGAAGTTAGTTATGGATAACTCCTTATAATTATATGCACATTAGGAATTTGATCTGACCTTATCCAGGCATCCACTGGTCTAGTGTTGAACATCCTTGCCGTCCCCTGCCTGATTGCCGTGACTGGAACTATAGGCAACGCCATCTTTTCTTTTGACGACATCCCAGCATTCCAAGGATTGAACTCGACCATCTGTGGTCACAACCTCAGCTATGTCGTCCATTCCATCTAGGTACAGACTGCTGGGCACATGTTGTTAGACTAGAACCAGATACATGTTCCTGGCACGAGTTGTTAGACTAGAACCAGATACATGTTCCTGGCACGAGTTGTTAGACTAGAACCAGATACATGTTCCTGGCACAAGTTGTTAGACTAGAACCAGATACATGTTCCTGGCACGAGTTGTTAGACTAGAACCAGATACATGCTCCTGGCACGAGTTGTTAGACTAGAACCAGATACATGTTCCTGGCACAAGTTGTTAATGTTGTTAAATCAAAACGAGATAAGGCCTACATGTTCATGGCACAAGTTGTTAGACTAGAACCAGATACATGTTCCTGGCACAAGTTGTTAATGTTGTTAAATCAAAACGAGATAGGGCCTACATGTTCATGGCACAAGTTGTTAAATTAGAACTAGATACATGTTCTTGGCACAAGCTGTTAATGTTGTTAAATCAAAACGAGATAGGGCCTACATGTTCATGGCACAAGTTGTTAGACTAGAACCAGATACATGTTCCTGGCACAAGTTGTTAAACTAAAACCAGATACATGTTCCTGGCATAAGTTGTTAAACTAAAACCAGATACATGTTCCTGGCACCAGTTGTTAATGTTGCTAAATCAAAACCAAAAAGGGCCTACATGTTCACGGCACAAGTTGTTAAACCAAAACCAGATACATGTACTTGGCACATTATAGTAAACAAAAACCATGCTATTTTGTGACATGCATATCATAATTGTATTTTTAAAATTTATACATGTTGTTTAAAACACTATGCATATCAATGTTTATGTCTAAAATGTAAATAATGTCTAAAAGTATGATTATATTGTTTGATAAATATGTTGTTTGTTAAGACATTTTTTATTTATGTAACCTATTTTAGTTAAAGATTGTCTTAAATTACAATAAACACTATATACATATGTGTCTAGATGTGTATATACACACATATATACAAATAATATTAGTTTATGTGTATATTTGTTTGTACACGTAGAGCTCTACGATAATATATATATATATATATATATATATATATATATATATATATATATATATATATATATATATATATATATATATATATATATATAAATATATCTTAAAACGTGTGAATATTTGCTATATTTTATAATTAAAGATGTAATACACACAAAGCTGTGTACTTGCTGTTTATAAACTAGCGTTTATTCGAAACTTAAACAGTGTGATTAGTTTGGAAGCGTCTCAATGGGCTACACTTAGGGTTAAAGGTCACCCCTGCCCCAGTGGCGTAGGCAAGGGGGGTTAGGTGGGGGGTTATAACCACTCCCATGGACTCACACCCCTATATATATATATATATATATATATATATATATATATATATATATATATATATATATATATATATATATATGATTTTCTACATATAAAAAATATTTGAACCCCTCCCATTACCTATTCCTGGCTACGCCACTGCCCCTGACTACAGCAAAACTGTGAGCACCCAACAAAATCTGTTTTAAATGCTCTTGACACTTGGTGCTGTTGTTAATGTATCCGTTTATTTACGGTATTGTGAGCCCGTGTGACCCATGAACCTTGAACTCTATTAGGTCACGTGATGCCTCAGCGGACATATTAGTGGAAGAAATATAAAGTTGCCCTTTTGGACCCAGAGGTCAATAGGTCAACTGTTCCTATTTCCGTGACCTCGGCATGTGAAGGGATAGTGTGGTCACCTTTACGTAACGTGAGTCAAGTCCCTAGGGACTCAGTAACATTCTACGGACTTAATTCTGGGATTCGAACAGGAAATGTTCTGGTTATTAGTCGTGCGCGCAACCATTCGACCACGCCTTTGTTTGTCAAGTAGTCTTGGCCAAATGATACTTGCAATAAAATGAAGATGGAAACATAAGAACAGCGTATGCTCGGTGGTGTTGTTTTTGGTTTCTGTAGACAGAGTTTCTTCCAGGCATCTCTTCGAACGAAATGGAATTTATATAAAAAATATATACTTTTGACAGGGTCCGCCCCCCCCCCCCCCAGGAAATTGTTGTCCGCTCCACCCCCCCCCCCCCCCCCCGAAAATTTCAAGTGCACCCCCGGAGAAAAAAGTCTGGAAGAAACACTGTCTGTAGACAAGACCTCTTCACGAACTTCATTTCAAATTTCTCATACCAGTATAAAGTCAAATCCATAGCAGTGAAAGTACCTAAAGTTTCTTCCATGCCCTCCGAAAATTTCAAATTTTGAAATGTCGCCCCCCCCCCCCCCTAACGCCCACTCCATCTCCCCCGGAGAAACAAGTTTAGAAGAAACTCGGAAAGTACCATTTTGATAATTTTTAGTTAATATGCTAGCTCTTTTGCAAACAAGACAAATCGAAACATTTTTCGTCTCTTTATTTCAATTATTAAAAAAAAGATATTTTGTTTTGTTATTGTATCTTTTAAAATATCCCCCCCCCCCCCCATATAACATAACCTGCTGCGTTTGTTGACGCAGACAATAAAACGATCCGTCCTTGCCCTTTGTAACTACATCCGGCCGTTGACCTAGATATGGAAATGACTTTTGGTGTCCCCATATAAAGCTTAAATATCCCGACTCTTGGTAGATAGAAAAAAAATGTCACTGGCATTTCAGTGGCGGCCATTATACAAAAACATGAGCGACGAATACCGGAACAAATTACTGCCCTTTCTTGTCTATTTATGATTCTCATTGATCTTATTCTGTTAATCATAACCGTTTTTATTGTATAAATGGGATTTTAAAAAATAAGACCGATAGTGGGAGGTATGGAGCGACATTTTCATGGTGATACAATTTTAAGCACTGGGTTACATTTTTAGTTGATACAACGAAAAGTAAAGTTTTCTAGAGTAGAGTTCAGTGTTTGTGTTAAGTTTAGTATTTGTGTAAAGTCCAGAGGTTTTTAAAGTCCAATGTGTGCAAAGTCCATATAGGTGAAGTTATTTTTCAGACCTAGCGGAGCAGAAGAAGTAGAGTTTACCTGTTTCTGTGACCTCAGCATATGACGGGTTAGTGTGCTCAGCACTATGCCCAGCCGTCTTTACTGTCCGCAACTAAGTCAGGTACCCATCAGAGTTGGGATGACTCAGTGACTCGCTACGACCCGAACTCGAAACTTTTGTGTTAGCAGACGGACGCCCTACTATTAGACCAAGCCTAAGTGTAAATTCCACTTTTAACATAAAATCCATTTTTAAGTAAAAGCTTTCGCGTCAAGTCAGTGTTCGTTAAAAGTAATTTATATAACCCAGTCTCAATGCATTCGCTTCTAACTCAGTAGCGTAGCGAGGGGGGGGGGGGGGCGGGGGGACATATGTCCCCGGGCGCCAAAATGGGGGGCGCCAAAATGGGTTGGAAAAATAAATTGAAAGGTTGAGGGGGGTGCATATCGAAAGTTCGAGAGAGGGGGGGGGGGGGTGCAAATCGAAATCTTGAAAGGGGGGGGTGCAAATCGAAAGTTTTGAGGGGTGGGGTGCAAATCAAAAGTTTGAGGGGGGGGGGGGATGCAAATCGAAAAGTTTGTTCCCGGGCGCCGGGAAGGGTCGCTACGCCTCTGTTCTAACTTCTCTGTTTTTGACGAGATCTAACCCCCCCCCCCCACTATCCCACAGTAACGCCCTTTGTATTTAACTTATGTATTGATGTATTCGACATTACCAGTAATAAAAAATCTGGGGCACATATTACCGAGGGAGCATAGACATATATTGGCCAAGAGAGCAGTAAATATCAGAATACATAGTTGATGAGGAAATAATTATGACTTAGCAGTCACATAGGTTAACGAGATAATTATCTATAGTAATTATACTAATACATTGTTGTATACTAAGCAATTCTCACTCGACTATATATGACAGATGGCCATGTAGGCAATCATCTATTTAACATCAACCCAGCTGCGCATGCGCAGAACGAGTTCCGCGCATGTCCCTATTGGCGGCCATATTGCACGTATCAGAATTGTCTGCGCCTGCTGTCAAAGTTGGCCGACATAGACCTTTACGATAAGCCAAAAATGTGTTTGATTTCTACCCCCCCCCCCCCCCAGCCTGTATTTACTTTTCTGTCGGTCACATACGTTAGGGGAGGGTAGGGGCTGAATACTGCTGTTAATGAGAACTGTTGTGAAATAATTAATTAGTTCATTATTCTTTTGCTTCAGAGATGGGTTGCTTTTCAGCAAATAATGTTGCATAGGCATATCTTTGAGTAGCCTTTGAGTAGTTTGTTATTTATGATTGGGGTGGGGGGGGGGGGTGGGGTGGTGGATATATAAGATATAACAAGTGTATAAATATAAATTGGGGGGAAGGTTATGCCTTTATGTCCGCCCGAAGATCCATCCATTAATTACACATGTACACATTAAAAAAGAAAAAAAAATAAGTTCCATTTTCGAACTTGACGGTCCATGGGGCAAGGGAAGTAGAGTTTACCTGTTTCTATGACCTCGGCGTATGAATATACACATTATAATCTATACATTAGGTAATATAAAAACAGAACAAGGAATAATATAAAATATAACAATTACGAATAAGCAAAAGATTTGTAAACATTTAATAAACCCTGATTTTACAGACACATCTTTTTTTTTGGGGGGGGGGGGGGGGGGGGGGGGGCGCCATCCACAAAGCCACCCCCTACATCCGCCAAATGTCGACAAGATCTAAATAGGTATTGGAACATAGAATTCTGTTTGGACAGACTAGCAAAAAGGTTCCCTTGATTAGATGTGTCAAAGGGTATGCCTTCAATCTTTACACATATAGCCTGAATTAACTCTTGAGTATGATATCGATATAGCATTTAATGAAAAATACCAAGCCCGGTACTCTATACCAACGACATAAACCTTTGGTCACTCATCAACCTTCATCAACTTTATTTCAATCTTCAATCAATCTTCCATCAACCTTCTATTTACCCTATATCAACCGTTTAAATTTTTACATCAACCTTCGATCAATCTTCTATCAACTTTCTATCAACCACCTTTCAACATTATACCTACCTATCAACCATCTTTCAACATTATACTAACCTATCAACCTTCTATCAACCTGCTATGTACCTGCTATCAACCTTCTAATTCCCTTCTATCAACTTTCTATCAATCTCATTTCAACTCTTTCCGAGCTCAGTCTTTTATATCTTAATAAATCTTCACCCACGCATACAACTACATAATTCAAACACTCATTCATCAAGTCAATTAGCCGCTGACAAACCAAGTTAAATTAACATACTGACCACAACAAGGGAATTGGGCTGAACTTTGTTCATCAAGAAATTATCTCACTTTCTTGGCAAAATTCCGGCATCAAAATGGCTGCCGGCCAGTCAGAATTAGGTCACATACATGTCGGAAAAGACGCGGTCAACAATTATTATTAACAAAAAAAATTAATATACTGAAAATGAAATATTTTAGAAAAGTATAATTAAAATTAATGAGAACGATAAAAAAGGCATGAATGTGTTTTAATACGAGAAATATAGTCAATGAAAAGTTAAAGGCATCGGTATTTGTACAAGTGCATGTTACACAAAAAAACAAAAACAAACGAGAACTAGTGAGGATACGATACCATTGATCACATTAGGGTGAGTGTATGTAGACTGGAGCTATAGAGCCCATGTTTTAGTAAGACACAAAAGTAAAAGGTACAAATAATATGTTACATGTTCATAAATAACATCACATATTTTATTAATAGCACGCACATACATTCACATACACATGTATATATAGCCTATATATATGTATATGGGCTATATATATATATATAGGCTATATATATATATATATATATATATATATATATATATATATATATATATATATATATGTATGTATAAGCTATATACATGAGTGTGTGTGGAAATACATATGCATATTATAAATATGTATATATGTATCCATATATTCATACGTTATATGCATATATACATGTAGACAATATGCATACAGACTACATAAAAAGGTTATATGCATAATGTATATTTAACACTTTGTCCATCAGGACCGACATGATATCCTAAAACCCAGAGTCATTCAAGTTAAATCTCTCTCTTCACTAAACTAATAAAATTAACAATCAATAAAACACGGACACCGGTGTGGGATGGACCTCATGAGCAATTATCTTAAAGTCAACTCAGTCACAAAGGGGAGAGAATAATGTCAAAATTTATTTAAAAAACCACAGATAGTGTTTTTTCACTGTCAGCGTTTTTTTTTTCAAATAGGGGCATCAAAAGAAGGACATATCTTTTAAATAGTGTGCATTCTTATGAGCGTATTTTTCCGAGTGCGCAATTTTCCAGAAGTTCAATTTTTATGGAGACTGAAGTTACGGTGCTTCGTATTAGCTTGTGAGTTTTAGTTTCGTAAAAAAAGAAAAGAAAAATTGGTCTCAGTTTCTTATACACAGATTTTCATATGCACGTACCCAATATTCGCAGATAGACGCAATATTTCTAGAAACACTGCAGACAACTTATATATATATATATATATATATATATATATATATATATATATATATATATATATATATATATATATATATATATATATATATATATATATATATATACTCTCTCCCATAGACGACATTAAAAAAAAAAAGAACTCCCGAACTAGACATTTTATATACTCTCGCGTAAAGTCGACTTTTTAAAACTCTTCCAACAAACAACATTACTCCCGCCTACAGAGACATACTTCTGCTGTTCACAGACGTCATATCTGGATCACCAATGACGTCATAGCTTGCTATTGAATTCCTCCCATCCCCACCCCCTACCTTCAGCTCACCCACTGCACTCGGAAACGCCCCCGGGCGATCATTAGTTAATTGGAATCCTATTACATTTTCGCCACGCACTAACTAATCACGCTCATTAAAGGTAATAAATGGGAAACAATTAGCATATGGACATGGGGCGTCGAACGAGGGATAATAAATATTGTCGTGTGTTGTTAGACGGCCTGCATCACGTGTGTTCAATCGTGGTTAACGAGTCAGTATTAGAATTTCTGTTTGTGTAGGATTAGTAAAATATAATCTAATCGCTAGATAGTCTAACTCATAAGCAGGTCGTTGGGGTGGATTGCAGTCATTTGATGAGAGTGGAATCTGAGAAATAGGCAAAGTAGGAAACTATCGGTAGGGCCCGTTAAATTTTAAGGGTTAGCTTCTGTGTGCGCATATTTCTGTTAGCGCGTTTTTTTGTGTGCGCATTTTTTTTGTGAGCGCATTTTCCTGTTTGCGCATTTTTCTATTTGCGCATTTTTCTGTGTGCGCAGTTGTCAATAGCGCATTTTTCTGTCACCAATTTGTAGACCTTAGACTGTGTTAGATTATTTCCTGCGTTTACTTTGAAAAAAAAAAACATTGTATATATATATATCAGGAGGGATGCAAATCGAAAGTTTGAAATCGAAAATTGAAATTTCGTACCCGGGAAGGGTCGCTTCGCCTCTGGGGGGGGGGGGGGGGGGGGGGGGTGACACCATTAAGTGCCGCACTATCCTTTCATATACCGGGGTCGGAGAAGCAGGCCAACTCTAATTCATCTGCTTAATGTATCATCAAGTCCAAAAGGGTAGCCTTGCTATTAATTGAATGATATCAGTCTATTGTCACATCGAGAGCAGTGTATAGTTTGATTGATTCCAGTGTAATTGATAGCAGTCTAGTGTGTGATCAATCTAGTCTGTTAAGTGATTCTGAAAAGGATTTGATCCCGTTAATATATAATGAACTTAGTCAAAGTTGGGTTTTCACAAGACACATATCAACTAAAAGCTCTTTATTTGATAGGTTTCATTTATTTATAAACCCACGTACGCTTAAAACGGTCAGAATTGAAAATATGATTGAGGTTTTTTTTTATACAGTGCCCCTAGACAATAACACTCTAATAAATTACACCTTAAAAATAGATGATGAAAAAATCTCTTTAGCAATGTAAATTAATGAAATCGGGTTTTTTTTTTCTTTTTATAAATATCGAAGCTGACAATCGGAAATTCCCGAGTTATAAAAATAGCACAGTGTTTACACTCGCTACGGGCGAGTGGTTATTCCTGACATCTCACGAGAGCGCTGTTGTTGCATCACATATGCATGCTAAGCCGCGATCAAACATGAAGGGGAATAAAATAATTACACGTTCAAAGACAAAGCCAGCTATGGAGATAGCATCAAGGTCGATCAAAGTCATCTGATGGGGAATTAGGGAGTGGGTGAAATCATAGTCATCAGATGGGGAATTAGGGAGTAGGTGAAATCATAGCAGACGGGCATTTACACGAGAGTTCATAGAGGTGGGAGAGGATTTTTTTTTTACACCGTGCAGTAGAGCAGGGGTTCTAGAACATTTGATACCATAGACCCTAAATGTATGTAGATTTAAGACTTATGGAACGCTTGTAAGATATTTTTTTTAAGTACCAAATATCGATTAAATGAAATTTTAACATCCGAGTATCGTAATGTTGAGAAGCCTTAAAGTTTTATTGAAAGTGACCCGTTGATGCATATGTTTAGAACCGCTGAAGTGATTTCAACAGTACACTTAAATGTAATATATATTATATGTGACAAAGTTGTCATATAAACGGGTTTTTAATTGAACAAATGAGATTACCAGTAAAGAAGATTTTGTTAATGTACTGATGAACTTTACTAAACGAATAGAATGTTGGTACTTCTTCACACTAAACCCAACATAAAAATTAAGTTTCCGTCATAAGTAGCGTACCCAGCTACAAATGCTCAGCATCATTAGTCAGTCATCAAGTACATCAAGGTGACAAAGTAGTTTATAATGAAAGTGTTCGGGCTAGGGATGGGGTATGTGGGCTATAATCAGGGTGGTTGGGTTGTGGTATGGTGTTGGGTAACTTGCACTGGTGGTGGGGTCTGTGGGTTATCATCAGGGTAGTTGGGTGTGGTATGGTGTGGGATAACTTGCGCTAGGAACTGGTCCCATCATAGTCGAGTAATGAATGCTGAATATTGACCGCCCTACACAGAAGAATGTCTCTTGAATGAGAATATTCAAGTGTATATATATATATATATATATATATATATATATATATATATATATACATATATATATATATATATATATATATTTATTTGGGTGTGTATATGTTTACATATACTTAAGTATATGTAGATATATACATGTTAGTGAAGTAGTTAGAAAAGAGAAGAGGGAGTTTAGAGTATGCATTGGGAACACCCCCTCCCACACACACACACAAGTAACATAAAACAATCCTGACTTTGTCACTATTGATGAATATCTATTACAAATATTAACCCCTCCCCGGTGACAAGTATGTATATATTAAGACTGCCGTATATAAGAGAAAATTTTCCTCAAAAGACACATTTATAGACTAAAACGTCATAAAGATAGGTGATGCAGAAATATGTTGGTGCACAGTCCTCGTAAGACTCCATGTTGCGATAGTATACTCCAAGTGTAAAAAACAAACAACCAATCACTGCAGACTTCCGGTGTTTACATCACCACGCCCCTCCTCCTTCTCACCCTCCTCCTCCTCCTCCTCCTCATGAATACACTCCCCGCTCCCGTTCTCAGTCACAGTGTCCAGCCCTCCCGCCATTTTCATGGCGGCCATCGTATAAATCTGCCTGGACATCTCCACCTCCGGTACCGAATACAGCCTGGTTTTCTCATGCGGCGCCTGATACACCGGACACGACTCCCGTCTCAGCTCCCGCGCGCGTCCCGCCAGTCTCTGGAACCGTTTCGGATCGGGATTTTCCGGAATGCCTCCGTTTATTTTCGTTATGAGGACGTCCTCGACCTTGACCTCAGCCTCCTGGAGGTCTTTCTCGATCTGCTTCTCGCTGAGGCCGAGGAAGCTGGCGTAGCGCCTGACGACGATGGTGGCCGAGTCTTGCAGGAGCTGGAAGATGGTCGATAGCAGCGCCAGACCGAAGAGCAAGTACATGGCGCAGACGACGCGCTTGGCGTTGGATCCCAAGGTCTCTGTGTTCTGGGGAGATTGAAAATAATCTTTAACACATTTGTTCAAACACACACACTACAGTTGCTATTCTTGGATCTACAAATTTAAACTTTTAGGTTACACAACACTTGATCTTTTTAGTTCTACACAAGATAAACGTTGATCTTTTAGATAAACAGAACAATGGCTCCTATCCAATAATCATCTGCACTAAACCCCCTCCCCTGTTGGACAACCCCCCCCCCCCCCCGACATAAGCTCCTGGACACACAAAAAACCAGCAATATAAACCTATGGATAATGCCCCAACCACCAGATTGAGGTTTTATATACGAAATACTTGCGATGATTAGAACATAAAATGACAATTAAAAAGAAAAGTTGTGTCATCTATCTATCTATCTATATATATAAAAAGCAATGTATGTTTGTTTGTTTGTTTGTTTGTCCTTTATGCATTACTACACCTCTCATCACATCGCCGTGAAACTTTGGGAAGTTGTTGAGAATATACCTGGGGAGGTTTCTGCGAAAAAAAAAATTTCAAATTCGCAGGGGTGGCGCCCCGGCAGGGCGCGATTTGTTTTTCTCTATATACAGTATATAAAAATAAAAAGTCAATTTTGGTTTGACATCGTTCATCTGATAGCCATTAGACTTTGGGGAGTTCATAATAACACTCTAAGGAAGGGTTCTGTAAAAAAATAATTTTTAATTTCGCAAGGGCGGCGCCACTGGAGGGTGCGATTTTCCTCTATATATGGTATATAAAAATAATAAAAGTGAATTGCAGTGACACCGTTCACACGATCGCCATCAAACTTTGGGAATATGTTGAGAATGTTCCTGAAGAGGTTTCTGCTTAAAATACATTTTCAAATTCGCAGGGGTGGCGCTCCGGTAGGGCGCGATTTGTTTTCTCTCTATAAACGGTATATAAAAAATAAGAGTCGATTGCAGATTCACACTGTTCATCCACTCGCCGTCAAACGTTGGGGAGTTGATTAGAGCAATTCAGGGAAGGGTTCTGTAAAAAATCATTTTTAATATCGCAAGAGCGGCGCCACGGGAGGGTGCGATTTTTCTCTATATACGGTATATAAAAATTATAAAAGTGAATTACAGTGACATCGTTCACACGATAGGCATGAAACTTTGAGGAGTTCATTATACCACTCTAGGGAAGGGTTCTGTAAAAAAAATAACTTTTAATTTCGCAAGGGCGGCGCCACGGGAGGGTGCGATTTTTCTCTATATACGGTTTATAAAAATAAAAGTCTATTTCGGTTTCACACCGTTCATCCGTGTACCATGAAACTTTGGGGAGATGATTATATCACTCAATGGTAGGGTTCTGCAAAAAAAAATATTGTTTAATATTGCAAGGGCGGCGCCCGCGGGGGGGGGGGGATTTTTTTTCTCTATACAAAATAAAACTCGGATGCGGTTCATCCGAGTGCCATGAAACTTTAGGGAGTAGATGAGAATACTCCCGAGAATATTCCTGCGAAAAAGAAAACTAAAGTTTCTTATGGGCAGCGCCATACAGGGTACAACTTTCGTCAATACACGGTTTGGCGCCCAGAGTTTTAGAGCGACGATGTTGGCACTTGGCACCGTTAATCGAGCGTCCTGCATAGCGAGTAAGGGGTACTACTATATTCAGCGGTAAAACTAAAACAGGCTTCTTAAAATAACTTTGTAACGAGAGGAAATCCTTCTGTACAGTTTCGTCACTTTGCCAAAGATGAAAAAATAACTTTTTGAATATGAGGAGCCTACTGTAGAGTTTCGTCACTTTGCGAATGATGCAATAAGCATCTATTATTAGACAATCCAGTCAGAAATTGAGATCAAGCATCTAATAATAGACCATTAGTAACGCTAGCATATTGCATCACTCACACTGATATTTAAAACACGTCAAATAATTTTTTTACATGTTAAAGAAAAAAATCCTGTTCATTTGTGTCACTTTAGCGAATGACGAAATCTGCATCATTATTAACATGATGCTATTTGGCCGATGGCGCCTGTTAGTTTTAAGGAGCCAGGGGTCGTACGCCGCGCCTATACGGTACCGGTAGTGTAATTGGGGGATGGGGGCCCGAGAGCGCCACTCTCTCTGACACAGACGCGGTCACCGAAGTGTGTTCTACCATATTATTTCGGTGAGTGATTAATGTACACTCAAGGTTTTCATGCGGTAGTGTAGGTAAACCCGTGTCCTGATATTTATGATATAAGAACAGGCATTGTTTACATTTAAATAACTCATTTTTAGAAAAGAAGGTTACGCGTCGAAGAACATATAATTATAATTGATAACGCGTTGGTGAAATCCTAATATATTTCGTCAAACTTTCTTCTATCCCCGCGGCAACGCGCGGGGGTCGGGTACGCTAGTTATGAATAAATAGTGGGTTTATGTCCAGGGGGGTAATGTCTGGGGGGGGGGGGATTTCGTTCAGGCTGTTTATGACCGAACAGCCATTAGATCAACACAGCGATTGTTGTTTTTTTTTTAGATCTACATGACACTTTATCTTTTACATCAACATAGTAATTGACCTTTTTCGATCTATTTGTGAACAAAAGTACAATTACTAATTGAGATGTTTTGTACATTTTTAATATTTTATCACAAACTTATCCATCCACCGTGACCGAAGTTAAAGCTTGTAAGAAGGTAATCCTCTCCCTAGTACAGTGGTTATCAACCTGGGTTCTATCAAACCCTAGGGGTTCAGCAAGTCAATCTCAATGGGTTCGACGGAGGTCAAGACACACACACGACACACATGATTCAGGATCGGATTGTGTCAGTGCGAACGATAGAACTATTAAAATGGGTTCGGTTAATGCGCATATGAAACTGGTGGGGTTTGGTACCTCTAAAAAGGTTAAGAATCACTGCCCTAACAGTTTGAGAAGCACTGGTCTGTACCTAGTTATCTCCTATGTTATAATCACTCTCACCATTATCTTTTCCTGTTTTCTCCCCTGAAATATGACCTACAGCCTTTCATGACATGTGACATATATATGTAGAATGAATATAATGATGATGAGAGCTGTGTGTATGTGTAATGGGGGTGGGGGACGTTAACGGTTGTCAGATTTTGGGACGGTAGAACAAAATGTAGGTGGGTAGGGGAGGGTAGGGGGGGGGGGGTAAGTGTGATAATACATTGTGTATGTGTGATGGAGGTGGGGTTGGGGTTAGGTTGATGGTTGTCATATTTGAGGACGGTAGAACAAAATGTGGGTGGGTGGTTGTACGGGGTGGGGGGGGGGGGGGGGAGTAAGTGTGATATTACACGTATCCTCCACTGCTACAAAATTCCCCTGGAGGATAATAACAATGTACTTTAGAAACCTGAAAGGACACATGTACTAAGGCCTAACTTCTGTATGTGTATACACAGAACACATTTTTAAAATGTCAAAAGCCCTTATAAATATAATACTGTATATGGTTTTTATTAAGAGTAAAATTATCTAAACTAAATAACTCTGCCAATAAAAGACTGTTTTAAAACACACACACACAATCGGTTGGACCAGTTTCTAGAAAAGACTAAGCTAAATAACCTAAAACAGTTCAGCTACACTAAAACAATTTAAATTCATATATTGTTATTAATATACATAGTATATCAAAATGTGTGATTTTCTCGCTGTCATGTTAAGGACCTACCTTGAGTGATATAAAATATCAGCATTGAGTGATGTAAAGATCTACCTTGAGTGGTGTAAAGACCTACATTAAGTTACTGAAAGAACCTACCTTAAGTTATGTAAATGACTTACCTGAAGTGATGTAAAGGACCTAACTTGAGTGACAGACGACCTACCTTGAGCAATGTAAAGGACTTGAGTGATGTAAAGGGCCTATTTAAACTGACGTAAGACCTACCTAGAGTGATGTAAAGAAACTGCATTGAGAAATGTAAATGACCTACCTGAATTGATGTAAAGGACCTTGTTCACGTAAAAGAACCTTTCTTGAGTGATATAAAAGACCTACCTTAAATCATTTAAAGACGTACATTAAGAGATGTTAAAGCCTACGTTTAATGATGTAAAGACCTACATTTAGTGACGTTAAGGACCTACCTTGAGTTTGTAAAGACGTATATTAAGTGATGTAAAGGACCTACCTTAAGTGTTGTAAAGACCTACATTAAGTGATGTAAAGACCTACCTTGAGTGGTGTAAAGACCTACATTAAGTGATGTAAAGGACCTACCTTGCCTGGTACATAATCCCCAAAGCCTATGGTACTGAGCGTGATGAAGCAGAAGTTAAGGACCTACATTGAGTTTGTAAAGACCTACATTAAGTGATGTAAAGGACCTACCTTGCCTGGTACATAATCCCCAAAGCCTATGGTACTGAGCGTGATGAAGCAGAAGTAAAGGACCTACCTTCCCAGGTACATAGTCCCCGAAGCCTATGGTACTGAGCGTGATGAAGCAGAAGTTAAGGACCTACCTTCCCAGGTACATAGTCGCCGAAGCCTATGGTACTGAGGGTGATGAAGCAGAAGTACGAGCCCTCCAAGAACGACCAGTTCTCCCATCTGGAGAAGATGGCGGCCCCGGAGAGAATGTAGACGACCATGGTCAAGATGGACACGCTGATGGGCACTCGGACCTTGGAGGTCTCCACGAGGGGGCGGTTACCTGTTGGGAGAAGAGAGTGGAGGTGGGTGTTGTAGGTGGGTAGAGGTCAAGGTCACGGGAAGGGTCGGATCAATGTTTTGATAGTTGAGGTGGGTGTTGTAAGTGGGTAGAGGTCAAATTTTCTCTGGAATGTTCAAGTCAACTTTTCTCTTGAATGTCAAAGTCAACTTTTCTCTTGAATGTCAAAGTCAACTTTTCTCTTGATTGTTCAAGTCAACTTTTCTCTTGATTGTTCAAGTCAACTTTTCTCTTGATTGTTCAAGTCAGTTTTTCTCTTGAATGTCGAAGTTAACTTTTCTGTTTAAGGTCCAAGTCAACTTTTTTTTTGAATGTCCAAGTCAATATTTCTCTTGAATCTCCAAGTCAACTTTTCTCTTGAATAACAAAGTCAACTTTTCTCCTGAATCTCCAAATCAACTTTTCTCTTGAATCTCTAAGTCAACATATTTTTTTGAATGTTCAAGTCAACATTTGTATAAAAACAAAGTCAACTGTTAAAAGTTCGTGACCTGTAGTAAAGTCACAGCTGTCATTACGTAGAGCAAACAACATAATTTCATCCACTTACCAGTGGTTCTCATCACTCAGTTAACCTGTACCCCACTACCTACACGCAATCTATCGCCCAATTACTTCAGACGTATTTCTAATTTGATATTTCTGATATTCTTTAATTTTTCTATTTTTAAGCTAATTTTTCTTTTCTTTAACTGCTGGTTTTAAACTAAAGGGAATCCCTGTGAGAATTGGAAATCCCCGGTTAAAACTCAATGACCTATATTATACTCACAGATGAGAGAATAAATATCGACACATTTATTTACGTTATGCGTAGTATTAAAAAGTAAACTAATCATGCAAGCTTAAAAAAACGTGTAATACAAATATGAATAATTCGAGGTCATTAGATACATTGTGTATATTTGAGGAGGGGGGGGGGGGGTGAGCAGCGTTGAGCCCACCCTCCAGATGTCAACATCAGGTTACAGAAAACGATTCGTGAAATAAGCGGACAGTAATCTATGCAAAACTGTGTACTGATGAAGCGTTTCTGCCCGTGTACTAATGTAGCACTTCATTCTGTGTGTTAATGTAGCACTTTATTCTGTGTGTTAATGTAGCACTTTATTCTGTGTGTTAATGTTGCTAATCTAGCACTTCCGTTTGTTTATTAATTAAGCACCCTTTATTCCGTGTGCTCATTTAGCGCTTGTTTTAACTTATCCCAGTGTAGCAGTTAGGTAAAATTGCTAAAGTAACAACCCTCTCTCTCTGCAAATAAAACACTTCTTTCTTTGTACAAATGTAGCGTTTCCTTCTATGTGCTAAATGTGATACTGCGTAACATATGCTACAGTAGCTCTACAATACCCCTGATCCTGGTAGTTTTACATATTCTTCTCATGAAACATTTATATGTGTCTGTACGCCTCAGACGTCACCATTAATTTTCATCATAAAAAAACAAAAAAAATAAACGACAACGCGAATGGCCATCTCCTGTGATGTTTCCCCAGACATTGTAAATAAGACTTGGTCCTGGCGTATTGTGAGTACAGACCCCATTTCTTCTTGTCTGTCGTAAACTCTCAGCAAGTACCTATTAGAGCTGAGTAGGCTCAGGGTCCGATTAGAGACTAGTCGGCTTTAGACTGAAATTTGAAAACTGAATACAGCAACCCAAATAGGAGTCAACGGCCTATATGGCGCATAACCAGTTGACACGTAAAACTTAATTCGGTTGGGGGAAATCCTGTCCAACATTTCAATTAAGAACCAAGAAGAACATTGAAGATTGGGATTGTATGTTGTTTCCATATCTCCGCCTGCTTCTCTGTGTATTGTGTCACCTGAAGTTTATAAAAAACGAACATACCCACATAATACCTTATGGAAAAATGTGTCACTTCCGTAGAATAAAGGTATTGGAAAGGTTTTTTCTAAGATTTTCAAGGTGTAGGTGAAGTAGAGTTCATCATTTTTTTCCCGCTTCCAAATAAAGTATTTTGTTTTCACTAGCCATAATTAACACAATCATAAACCATAATACTTAACAAAGTAAATGTATTAAATGCAATTTTTCTGAACACACTAACCACAAATGAACACACTAACCATATTGAACACACTAACCATACTGAACACACTTCCCATACCGAACACACTTCCCATACCGAACACACTTCCCATACCGAACACACTATCCATATTGACCACACTAACTACACTGAACACACTGGAAAAAAAACTTATCCGACAAGCGCTTTTCTTAAAACTTATAACACAACGACACCAAATTATATAAACAAAATAAACACGTTTATGAAAGCCCCCTGGGTGCGGTCAGATGTGTGGGGGTGGGATGAGTCCTAAGCTTGAGTGTTTTTCCTGCTGTACCTTACACTATCTCTGGATTCCATCGAATTCTATGTTTGTGTTTCTTTAAGCATGTGAATTATCGCGCTTAGGGCGCCATTGATCTCCACACCCCTAAACACAGCTAGCCATTGTAAGGGTGGCCAGATTAAAGAATTATCCAGTCTTTCATGGTCTAATGTCCAGGCGCATTGTAAAACAGTTTATACCAGCATAGATGGCGCCAGTATCCACGCGCGAGGGCATAAATTGGTCGAGGACGTTATGCCCTGGTCATTTAACACCTGCAACATACCGCCATCGTAATTACCCCTCTCTTTAGAATACCAATTATCGTTCCCGTTATTGGTAAAGTGCGGGGGTTAATGTGACCAGCTCAAGGCTTAAATATAGTCTTGTTTTAAAAACCTACCACACAGAAATAAAACCCTTGTTGTATTAATTACATGTAATTTCTACATAAAAAATTTTTTTGCAAAAATATTTTAAAAAAAATTAAAACCTAAATTCATAGGTGTTCAGAATAAAAGTCTTTGTTCAAATTAGTTTTGTCTAAAAAAATGTCGGAACAGTTGAAAATGAACTAAAACTACAAAATAGATATATAGTAAGAAAAAAAAAATTATGTGCTATACAAAAAAGAAAATATTAAGCAGCGAAAAGCTATTTTCAATTGTAGGCCAACAATTTTAAGCAGTAAATGATAATAATAGTAAGATTTTACTCTCATGAGTTTTTTCTCAAGATATTTTGTCTTGAATTTGCTTTGTCTCAGGGATGTTTTATTAATGTGATATTTTTTCTATAATAATAATATTAATGTGGTAGGCCCTATTGTGTTTTTTTTAGATATTTTGTCCAAATCATATCACCATCATCCTTCCCCAAGTCACATGGGGGCAGATGAAGTAGAGTTTACCTATTTCAGTGACCTCGGCATATGAAGGGATGTTGTGGTCAGCACTAGGCCCAGCCGCCTTAATTTTCCTTAACGTGAGTTAGAAATCCAAACCATAAATTTAAATTATTTATCTTGTTTATTTCAGATTTAATTTTATATATCATAAATTGTGTCTGAGATATTAAGTGGTGACCTAGTTTGCCCGATATTTTTAATGTTGACCTATTTTTTTCCTGGATATATTGTGTCGACCTAGTTTGCACGATATATTTTGCGGTGACCTAGTTTTCTCGATATTTAGTACTGACCAAATTTTCCCGTGGTATTTCGTGCTTACAAGGTTTGTGTGCGATATCTAGTGTTGACCAATTATATCTGACCTATTGTATCTGACCTATTATATCTGACCTATAGTATCTGAGATAGTCTGTTTGACAGTACTCACGTTTGGGCGACCGTACAAGGATGTATGCCAGGTGATTGGCGTGCTTCCACGTGAAGCGGTACACGGTTGCCAGGAAGGACCCGATGTTGGCCAGACAAAGCAGGACCAGGGGAATGCCAATCACAGCGTACAGCATGCACGCTATTTTCCCCTCAGCCGTGTGGGGGACAATGTCCCCGTAACCTGTGGGTAGAGGGGACAAAAGTTAGGGGACAAAAAATTAAAAGAAATAGAATATTATAGTTGAGCGTTAACTGTGTTGTATAGGTTCATGATTGAAGATTCGTTTTAATAAGGTTTAAGTTTTGGTTTTGAGATTCTTCTGATTAAGGTTTAAGTTGTGTCCAAATAAGGTTTAAGATTCGTATACAAAAGTTTTAAGATTCGTATGAAAAAGGTTTAAGATTCGTCTAAATAAGGTTTCAAATTCGTCTAAATACGGATTGAAGTTATATCTGAATAAGGTTTAAGATTTCTCTAAATAAGGTTTCAAATTCGTTTGCATTAAGTTTTAGATTTGTTGGAATAAAGTTTAAATTATGTTTGAAATAAGGTTTAATATTTGTCTGAGTAAGATTTATTATTCAAGTATGTTTTAAGTTTATCAATGACCATAGATAGGCTCATATTTTGTACAAGCCATGTTTGAATAAAAACTGAACTAGGATTAAGTTTGCTTCTACTGAAAAGTTAAAATGAGGTTTAAAATAAAACTTATATTGTTCACATATGTGCCTTTAAAACCTTTGAACCAGAAAAACTGAAAAAAAGCAACAACCCCCCCCCCCCCCTCAAATATTCGTACATTAACCTACCTATTGTTGTGATTATTGTGATAGCAAACAGCAGGGCACTTGGGTAAGTCCATTTTGACGTACTGGGGGTGTAATCGGCGATCTGGTTTTCGGCTTTCCAATCTTGAACAAAAACCTGAAAGATGTTTGATTTAAACTGATAATAATGACAATAGATTTTTTAAAGCACAGAAAGTGATCGGAAAAGTAACGTTTATTATCTTTATAGTGCAGCCATCATTTATTTAAAATAAATTCTTTTTTTCTCCTAATAAGATTTTTATGATAGTTGAAACTAATATAGGCCTACCCCTAAAATAAATCCCAGAATTTAAAATAAATGCGGAACATAAAAACGGCGCCATATACGGATCAAGGGGACGGTGCGATCCAATTGTAGACTGCTAACCGGTAAGTCTAGAGTTCGAATCCCTGATACGAATTCTGTATGACGTCCCTGAGTACATCCAGCACTGATGGGTACCTGACTCAAGTTGGGGAAACTAAGACGTCTGGGCATAAGGCTTACCCCACTATCCCTTCCAAAGCCGATGTCATTGAAACAGATAAACTCTACTTCAACTACCGCGTACGTCTTGCACGGGAAAATATGATATTTCAATGGAAATCCGTTCGTTCACATGAGAACATTATTGACATTCAAAGCTTTTACTCAATGAACACAGAATATTTGTATGTATGTTTGTATGTATAAAACAAATGCGTCTGCTCTTTTACATGGTATGATATATGTAGGCCTAGTTATTCACTTGGTAACACACGAGTACACACTAAGAAAAAACCTAAGTTAACATCTGGAAAATATGCATTCCTACACACCTGTAAAATTATGTAGCCCTATACACCTGTAAAAATATAAAGCCCTACACACCTGTAAAATTATGTAGCCCTATACACCTGTAAAAATATAAAGCCCTACACACCTGTAAAATTATGTAGCCCTACACACCTGTAAAAATATGTAGCCCTACACACCTGTAAAATTATGTAGCCCTACACACCTGTAAAAATATGTAGCCCTACACACCTGTAAAATTATGTAGCCCTACACACCTATAAAAATATAAAGCCCTACACACCTGTAAAATTATGTAGCCCTACACACCTGTAAAATTATGTAGCCCTACACACCTGTAAAATTATGTAGCCCTATACACCTGTAAAATTTAAATAGCCCTACACACCTGTAAAATATGTAGCCCTATAAACCTGTAAAGATACGTAGCCCTACATACATGTAGAATTATATAGCCCTACACACCTGTAAAAATATGTAGCCCTACATACCTGTAAAAATATGTAGCCCTACACACCTGTAAAAATATGTAGCCCTACACACCTGTAAAAATATGTAGCCCTACACACCTGTAAAATTTAAATAGCCCTACACACCTGTAAAAATATGTAGCCCTACACACCTGTAAAATTATGTAGCCCTACACACCTGTAAAATTATGTAGCCCTATACACCTGTAAAATTTAAATAGCCCTACACACCTGTAAAAATATGTAGCCCTACACACCTGTAAAATTATGTAGCCCTACACACCTGTAAAATTATGTAGCCCTACACACTTGTAAAATTTAAATAGCCCTATACATCTTTAAAAATATGTAGCCCTACACACCTGTAAAAATATGTAGCCCTACACACCTGTAAAAATATATAGCCCTACACACCTGTAAAAATATATAGCCCTACACACCTGTAAAAATATGTTACCCTACACACCTGAAAAGATAAGCCCAAACTTGAACAAAAAATGTGTACTCACCTCGAATACCTCCTTCTCATACTCCAGGAACCTCTGATTGGCCTGGTCCTTCCACTCGATGGGGTACAGCACGTTGAGATTCTCGGTGAAGTTCCACAGCTGCTCTATGTGCTTGTTGCTGCAGTGGTGAGCAAGGTCAAGGTCAAGTTCAGATTACAGAGGAAACGTCAAGGTCAGATTACAGATGGAAAGTGCAAGGCTTTTATACCCGCCACCCCCTTACGCTCTAACGTTATAAAACTATGTTAGTTTAACATTCAATGGTGTGAAAAAACAATGATACTAAGCAAAAGAAAAACCTAAATGTTATCGAATATATCACTCCCGCTGTTTTACATCTGTATCTGAGAGTATCTACCAAAGCATAGTGGATTCTGCCCAGCTGTTTGTTAATCACGCCCTGAATTAGATCGCATACGTGCAGATGAGTTACAGACTTTGTGGCCCACTCTAAATTCAACGGGAAAACTATAGCCATCTAAATAATTGCTTTTAAAGTGATTGAAAACCGAGAATGACCGCGGACTTACATAAACTATACACTTTTTAAAGGCTTGAATAGAGCACTTGCGAGACAAACTCGATATTTGGTAAGAAGATAGCTCTAATGTGTAGCCCCTGGAAAAATACCAGACTCTCAAAGATATCATATTGAGGAGTAAACAATTGACCCGTTTGACCGCTCAGTTTTATCTATTAAAGGGAAGTGACTGCTTCAACAATTTAAACTTTAAATGTCCCTCGTTCTCTGACGACACATACAAATTAACGAAGTAAACATTGGTTTAAAAGAAAACCTCCATTAAAGTGTATACTACGCTGTTTTTAAATAGCTGTGAAAACCGATTAACAATTACTAAATATACTATTCCGATATTTTATGTGTGTTTATTTTTATTCTATTACTTGGTGTTGTTCCTTAGGATTGGGACAGCAGGTAACGAGTGGCTTTCTGTTAAATCATTAGACTCAGGTTCTTATTACATTTGTATAACGAACCGTGCTATTGAGGAAGGGTATGGTATGTATACATAAATTTTAAGAATCATGTAAAAGTGTACGTGGTGTTATTTTGAGCTTAGATTTATTCAATAATCTTAATTTTTGGGAAAAAAGATTTTGTAAACAAACAACTGAGTTTAAATTGAAATTTAGACATGGATATAGATGACTGGAGCAATGTCTAGTCGATAACGGCTAGTATTGTGTTTTCGTTTGTGTTTGCGTTTATGTTTATGTTTGCGTTTGTGTTTGCGCTTGCGTTTGAGCTTGCTTTTGTGTTTGTGTTTTGTTTTGGTTTTGGTTGTGGTTGGAAGTGGTAAGGGTTATTTTTAGAGTTAGAGTTATGTTTATGCATGGTTTACTCAAACGTCCATATTTGCATTTAGGTATTTAATTACAATAGTAATATATTTCCTAAACCTGGGCAATGCCGGGTATATGTTTCTTAATAAATACTTAAGTCTGACTGACTAATATATATATATATATATATATATATATATATATATATATATATATATATATATATATATATATATGATACAATACATAATCATGATTAAAATAGCGACTTGTTTGATGTTTACAGCATGCACTATTGTTACACACGGGAAATGCCCACAATGCATTGCGTTAAACGAGCACAGGGAATATCAATTCGTCTGTTTGTCTTGGAGGTTTCAGCGCGTGCCGAGTGAGTACTTTGGCCCGTTTGGTGGTGAGTACAGTTCGCGTGATTGTTCCTGTACATGCGACAGACAATGGTTACAAGTGACTGACATGGTCTCTTTAAGTTCGTGTTATTTGTTGCTGTCAGTTGATAAATAACTGTCGAATTAATTAATATACTGAGGTGTCCGGTACCATTTAAAGCTTTTTATGAACTGTTTCAATACTACCCCGTCTAGATTTGGATAGGAAAATAACCATGATAATACCTCTTTCACCTCACCCATCACCCCCGGCTTGATCAACGTTTTTGTGCCAGTAGAAAGGTCCATTATAGCCTTATATAACTCGATTGTTTCAAGCAGCTTTTTGTGTTTTCCCTCGGTAGATTGGGGGTGGGTGGTTGGTTGTTGTGGGGGAGAATGTTATGTGGAAGGTGAAACGACCTACGGACGTAGAACAACGAACTATGGACGTAGACGACGAACTATGGACGTAGAACAACGAATTATGGACGTAGAACAATGCTTTAAAGAATGACCTACAGACAGAAGGAGGTGGAAGGATGACCTACAGACATAAAACAGTGAGTATAGATATGTGACCTACAGAACTAGGTGTATGGAGGTGTAACCTACAGATAGAACGACGTGGACCTACAGACGTAGAACAAGGTGTATGGAGGTGTATGGAGGTGTATGGAGGTGTAACCTACGGATAGAACGATGTGGACCTACAGACCTACAAGAAAGCCCTTGTGAATTTCGGATTAACAAATGTGTACTCTACAGCCCCCCCCCCCCTAGTCAACCTCATAAGATTACCGCTTGCGCCCTCAACCTTATTATATTGTACCACTTTACATATGTTTTAAATTCCTTGTACTTTTAAGAGAATTATCAGCAGCTTATCTTTAAGCTCACCGAAATAAGAGGCAGCAGCTTATCTTAAGCTCACCAAAAAAAGAGTTAGCAGCTTATCTTAAGCTAATCGTATTTCTAAAAGATTTAGCAGCTTAACTTAAGCTCGCCGTATTTCTAAAAGATTTAGCAGCTTAACTTAAGCTCACCGTATTTCTAAAACATTTAGCAGCTTAAATTAAGCTCACCGTATTTCTAAAAAAATTAGCACCTTATCTTAAGCTCACCAAAATAAGAATTAGCAGCTAAACTTAAGCTCACCGTATTTCTAAAAGAGTTAGCAGCTTAACTTAAGCTCACCGTATTTCTAAAAGAGTTAGCAGCTTAAATTAAGCTCACCGTATTTCTAAAAAATTTAGCACCTTATCTTAAGCTCACCAAAATAAGAATTAGCAGCTAAACTTAAGCTCACCGTATTTCTAAAAGAGTTAGCAGCTTAACTTAAGCTCACCGTATTTCTAAAAGAGTTAGCAGCTTAACTTAAGCTCACCGTATTTCTAAAAGAGTCAGCAGCTTATCTTAAGCTCACCAAAACAAGATTTAGCAGCTTAAATAAGCTCACCGTATTTCTAAAAGAGTTAGCAGCTTAAGCTCACCGTATTTCTAACAGAGTTAGCAGCTTATCGGCGATCACGGGGACGACTTGGATCTCCGAGTTCCGCTCCAGGTGCTGGAAGAGAAACCCCCCAGCCACAGCATACAGCCCCACCAGGGAGGTCAGACCCACGTGGGACAGGATAAATACCAGAAGTTTCTGGAAATTTTCAAAAAGTTTGGTTTAAATAACAGAAGTTTCTGGAAATTTTCAAAAAGTTTGGTTTAAATACCAGAAGTTTCTGGAAAATTTCAAACATCAAAAGGTTGGTTTAAATACAAGCAGCTTCTGAAAGTTTAAACTTAAAATGTTGGTGTAACTATCTGAAGTTTCAGAAATGTAAAAACTGTCAAACTCTCGATCCATTTGTCAGTTTATGTATTATTTTGCTACATTTAAAAATATGCAATAGAAAATTTTTCTTCACTAAACTTTCAATCAATTTTAACAAATAAATCTGACGTTCTTGTAAAAAAAAAAAAAAAAAAAAAAAATAAACATTTTTACGCATATTCAACGCGGCAAATGTAGGGACTTTTTAATTAATTCAAAAGTGTTGGGTATTTTTAAAAATATTTTAGCTAGACTAGAAATGGATAACTATCCTAATATATAAAAGGCCATGTGCGCTCTTCTCTCTCTCTCTCTCTCTGTCTGTCCGCAAAATATTTTCGCCGGACATCACGTCAGAATCGGCAGCGATATATGGATACCTTTATACGGACTTTTGTTGAAAATAATATGTTGGATGTTTTAAATGTATAACCACAATTTTATTTAAAGAAGAAATATAAAAAATAAAGGCGTATTCGAATGTAGAGAAACAGTATTATTTATGCAACCGGAAAAGTATTTAAACTTGGGACAAGAACGCATTTAACAATGACGTCGCTTATTGTTTACACTAAAAAAGAGCACGAAACTGATGACGTCATCTTCCGAGTTTAGAATAAAAAGAAATGATCTATTTCATTCAAATATGATTTAGAGCTATGTACACTATGAAATGTATACAATACGATTTTCTCGGCCTAAACTTAAAAAAATTATTTTATCTATTTGGATTCTAGATCTAGAGATCCTAGATCTAGATATTGATCTAGATCTAGATATTCTAGATCATCTAGATCTAGAGATTCTAGATCATATAGATCTAGAGATTCTAGATCTAGATCTAGAATAATCTAGATGATCTATAAAGCTAAGTTGTCGGGTGCCCGATAGGGCACTTCCCGGCGCCGCAGGCGCTTCAAATTTGGCAGGATCTTGCCTTGGGGCGACAGAACACGGGGGCCGGTTGGCCGAAAAGTCTACGATGAGGGGGTCAAAACTGACCTCGACTGACCGGCGCCTTATATGGGCGAATTAATTAAGCATTCAAATTCTCAATGTTTTCGAAAGCTTAAGCGAAGCTGGGCAGCATGCCTAGTATGATAGTTAACGAGTTAGAATTTATGCAACATTATAATGGCAAAATAAAATAAAAATTTTACCAAGTTCATAAATTTCGCGCTAAAACTGCTACGAACGTTGGATGACATCACGCGACCTTGACCTTGCTTACCTTCGTGGCCCAGCGAGCCCGCCGTCTTAACCTCTGCGCCCTGGTGAACTTGACGGCCGCGTGGACCTTGATAGCGGCGTCCAGAAACGTCCCCCTTGCCGCCCCGGGCGGGGCGTTTCCCTGCGCTGCGCTCACCTGCGCGATTTCCGCGGCGTCCATTACTTCTTCCGGACATACGTCATTTGCCGTGTCTAAGTGATCGACTTCTGTGAACGGCGCTACCCAATCTTCGGTGTGGTCAATCTCCGTTTCGTTGACTTCACGAAAATCTTGATGCGGCCCGTTGGGTAGGGAGTAGGCGGGCGGGTCGTACCCCGGAAAACTTGTTTCCGGAACTTCATTTATAAACACACCTCCCACTTCCGGATTCACACGCCCGGCCGTCAACAACCCATTGGCGTGCACGTCACTTCCGGTGTTGTTTTTCGACTCGTGCTGCATGGCGTCGTCGTCAAAAGTGGCGAGTGTGGCCTTCTTTAATTCTAAACCATGACCCAGGGGGTCCCCAGGGGGTAATCCATCACCGGCTGATAAACTAGACACATTCGGCATTATGCATCTGAAGGTTACATTTCCCAACACAACCGGTGTCACTTGAATATCCAACGCACAACCGAAATAGCCTGGGTATATTATCCTACAAATATGTATATATATATATATATATATATATATATATATATATATATATATATATATATATATATATATATATATATTTATTTATTTATTTATAAATATATATATATATACATATATATATACATATATATATATATGTATATATATATATATATATATATATATATATATATATATATATATATATATATATATATATATATATATATATATATATATATATATTTGAAATTCCTTTTCAGAAATATCTATGTTTTAACAGAGTAATCCAATCCAAGTTTTTTTGACATCTATACATACGAGATAACCGTACAGATTGATTACGGCGAGACGAGATTCCAGAAAAAAAAACCCACTGCAAATGTGGATTCGCTGGTCACCAAAAAGACCTCACAAGCTTAGCGAAACTGCCAAAACAATTATAGATACAGCCGGTGATCTTATTCTCGCTTGATCCCGTTCTCGCCAACCCTCTCCCCCCACGCGATATCATGGGATAGTTTTATCAGCCAATGGCAGTGATGGAAGAAGAGAGAGGGGGGGGGGGACAATGGAGTAGGGGGGTATCTTTATGTATGTAATTCCGTGCTTATGTTTCCCGAGTCCACGGGTTTGAAATGTTACCCGGAATGTCAACGAGTTGCGCTGTTGGCAGGGTGTCTCAGCACGCCCCTCCTCCGGGTATAAAATATTCAATCTTTATTAACCCGCATTAATCGCGAGGAAGTAGATTCACGCTCGCTAGCTTAGAGTACGGGCGTCATTGGTTTGGAGATTAAAAGATTTACGTCCTTACAAATCTGGTAATTGTTCCATCAGGATTTGATTTCATGCTAAAAGAAAAGAGGCCGACCAAGAAAGACCTGGAGACGTGACCTGGAAGAAGACACCAAGAAGATTGGATACACCTGGGGACAGTTGGAGAAACTAGCCCAGGACAGAGACGCATGGAAAGCTCTTGTCAGCGGCCTATGTCCCAGGTGGGACGACAGGTTAATAACCTAACCTTGTATAGCCTAGCTTAACCTAACCTAGCGTAACCTAACCTAAGCTAACCTAGCTAAACCTAACCTAACCTACCCTAGCTTAACTTAACCTAACCTAACCTGACATAACCTGATCCAACATAACCTAAGCTATTTTATCCGTTAAAAATACAAAGTATATATATGCCTTTTGCCTTCGTAGAACTCACAAGTCTGACTTCACCCCACCCCCCCCCCCACCCTTAACGTGTGTGACGTATCGAATAAACAATACCTAGTGATATTGTGTGGTGATGGAGGTTTATTAATTTTGTTTCTATCGGGGGTATAGGTACCCTTCAGTGGTGCCCGACAGATTCTCCAGTGTAAATATAACAACTGACATAATTTCAAATCATATTAAAGTGGATTTATATCTACCCTTATCAGTTTTCCCCTAATGCTCACCTACTGCCATGTACCATCCGACACCACTCCTACAGTCTAACCGTCCGACTATCGCCTTCTATTATAACAACGATTTACTTCTTAACTATAACGTAACAAATACACGCTCTAAGACAAACTGACCGGTTCCTAGCTACTTGCTTCACGCTCGAGTGACCTTCACACGTGACCAGTCATCTCGTTTTTAATTGGTCGGGCTATTTGATTGGTTCTAACTTCTTGGTTCTGCTTGACCAATGACTATTTCCTAACCTTTTACATGTTCTCCTTTCTGATTGACCTATTTCTAAATATATCTTAGTGTGAGGGTGGGGGTGAATAGAAGATCTACCGCCAGTTGTGAGGGTGGGGAAAAAAACATGTACACAGAAACAAACATCAAAATAATGATTTTTTAAAAAGGTTTCACAAAAAATAACAGATATTAAACAAACAGCGTACATTACAAAGTTAGATTTGCGCTGTTTATATTTATATATATATATATATATATATATATATATATATATATATATATATATATATATATATATATATATATATATATATATATATATATATATATATATATATATATATATATATATGTATTCAGTGTACCAAAACATAGTACCCTCAGGCTTCGGGTTTTTCCAATATAGCGTCCCATTGTTGTGTGTCATCATTGTGACTGAGTTGTTATTCTCAGATTCACAACAAGTGAACAAAGGAAAACTAATTTTATAAGATTGTCCGCGATATTCGAACAAACAAACAAACAAACATCGAGCCGGACTCTCCTTGCCGTCTGGTATTCTCTCCTACCCGCCATGACGTCCCACGTGACATCCGCTTAGCCAATCAAAATTATTGGACGAGGCAGTTGGAAGCCGCCATAATAAAAACTACAACGGGAAACAGTGAATAAAAATGTTGCGTGCTGAACATTAGCTATGATTACAGAAGTGGCCTACAGAAACAGTTTACAGAAACAGCTTACAGAGATACAGCTTAAAGAAACAGCTTACAGAAAAAGCTTACAGAAAAAGCTTACATAACCAGATTACCGAAATAGCTTACAGAAACAGTTTTCATAAGTGGCTTACAGAAACAGCTTACAGAGATACAGCTTAAAGAAAAAGCTTACATAACTAGCTTACAGAAATAGCTTACAGAAACAGTTTTCAGAAGTGGCTTACAGAAACAGTTTACAGAAGTGGCTTACAGAAACAGCTTACAGAAACAGCTTACAGAAGCCGGTTTCAGAAATTTACAGAAGCAGCTTACAGAACGTTACACACACAGCTTACAGAAGTGGTAACAGAAACAGCTTACATAATCGCCGTACAGAATTGGATAGATCTAACTATTCTAACGCGGAGGAAAAGTAGTTGACGAACGATTGCTATATTTTATTACAAAGAATTTGGACTGGTATAATGTTAAACAACATTCTAATTGTTTTCTTAATTATCATTTTTTACTTTCTCGTATATACGTAGTATAGAGAAAGTATTGTAATCGTGCAATAAAAAAAAAAATCGAGATTTTTACAAATCTCGACGTTTTACACCTCACTGATACGGAAAAACATAATTTTGCAATCTTGTCCGTATGTCTGTGTGTGTAATGTGTGTCTGTGTGTCTGTGTGTCTGTGTGTAAACACGATAACTTGAGTACCGTTACAGCTAGGTTGATGAAATTTCATATATAAGTATTATATCAAAATCGTAGATCCGTATCAACTTTTGAGCGATTTCCGACAACCGGAAGTGGTACTTTTTCTACTTTGAATTTTTCAAAAGCCTATAACTTGAGTACTATTTCAGATAGATAAATGAAATTTCACATGTAAGTAAAAGATCTAATTCTCTACCTTCTGTTAAATTTTGAGAATTTCCGTTGACCGGAAGTAGTAATTTACGCTACTTCCGATTTCTCAAAAAACTAATGTAAATTTTTAAAGTACTAATAATATTGCGCACTATTATACACATTTTGTTTCGGCGTTTGTTTGGTGCGCAATGTTTTTTTCTATGAGATTCTATTCTATTTTTAAAAGTTTAAGTAATTAAAAATCATGTCTACATTCCAAGTTATATAAGGATATTCGAGAAAGTTTGGGGGAGATCACTCCCGGTTTATTTGTTTCTGTGTGCAAATGTCCATCGCTTTGATTTACTTAATGAGTACGTTGATATAACTGGCTTACACGTGCTTATTGTTTTAACACACAATATTGTAGCTCATGAAACATTTCCTTTCAATCTTGCGATTTTAGTACTCTCGGTTATAGCCTCCATTGTGAAGATCTATTTCCCATTTAGGAATTTCGGCTTGTGGTGGATGTCTGCGTTGTGTTGTGAGGCTTGGAGGGATCCCATATAACTGGATCGTGGTGGTCTATTGAAATGGTATATAGCGTTATGGGAGGTATTCTGTGTGTGTGTGGGGGGGGGGGGGGGGGGGTTCGGATAAAAATGTCTTATTTGGTTAGTTTAAATAATTCTGCACGATCAATAAATAACAGAGCGTGGGGGGGGGGGGGGGAGTTGCACTTCTGAAATCGTTCAATCATTAATGCCACGACGGCGTACGTTGTAGACGTTATAAATGGACGATATATATATATATATATATATATATATATATATATATATATATATATATATATATATATATATATATATATATTTATATATATATATATATATAAATATATATATATATATATATATATATATATATATATATATATGTGTGTGTGTGTGTGTGTATGTATATGTATATATATATATATATATAATATATATATATATATATATATATATATATATATATATATATATATATATATATATATATATATATGTATATATATATATATATGTATATATATTATATATATATATATATATATATATATAATATATAATATATATATATATATATATATATATATATATATATATATGGTTTATACATACCATTCCTTCGCCTCTTACTGTATTCCCGTGTTGGCTACTTCTCTTCCCCGGCCATATTTTTTTTATGTTACAATCAGTCGCATACATAAAATAACCTTATTATTCTCCATACATACATACATCGATTGTCTACATATTCATGAACGTATGGACTCTTGTTTTTTATTTCAAGAAATTTTATTCGGCAGTTCCTTGAATGTCTCCTGTAGAGCGTTAGCCAGCACATTCACTCACGGTCTGAGTGTAATCCAAGTTTCTTAGGAGGGTAGGAACTCCCACGAGAGGCGTCATACTCGGGCTGGGGCACCCCGCCCTGTTGTCGATGGTTCTCAAAAGAAAACTTCTAGACACATTAAAAAACGGTCTCCGCTATAGCTCAATCACAAATCATCGCGTTAATTCAACATGAAATTAATATTTCATAAAGTTTATAAAACAATATGTCGGACCCGATTCATAGATAATTAATTTTTTGTAAATTTACAAAAAAAACTTATTTTTTTTTGGGAACCATTATTGCATTGAAAAACAATAAAATATAGCTACATAATTGATTCATTAAATAATATGAATATATATTTGTTATTAATTATCGTTTTATTACTGAAATTATTTATTGCCCTCCTGCGATGATATGATTCATATAAATTCTGATCGAAATTAATCATTTTCCCTAAATAATAATGCTTTTAAGCTAATGATTAAGAAATCCAATTGTAGTTTTGTAAACGACAGTCTTATTTCTTTTATACCATTTAATTCGATATTCATTAATTTAAATTAATACATATCTAATTCATTTCCGAGATTTAAAAAAAAATGTTAACGAATTAGAGGAGCCTAATTTGTATTGCTCAAATTTTTTTGTATAAATTTATTTGGATAATTGTTGAGTCTGATTAAAAACAATGTATAACATGTAGCAGGTATTTTTCCCCACAAGTTTATCAACTTAATTAAACTTCGGTGTTTATTTAAAAAAAAAAAACTACAAAGAAACCGTCATCATAATCATACCATGACATTTGCTCTGCGCTTCGGGAATTCCCGCAGTATTGAGAGAGCTGTGGGAATTCCCGCAGCATGGGTGCGCTGTGCTGAAGCTTACATATTCATAACGTTTGGGGTATCTATAATGGACTGGTGCGGAGGTTGATGCGACAGTGTCTAGCCTCCGTGCCACGTTTAATCTTTTAATAGCGCGCACTAAAGTGCGATACATGACCGGGATGATGCTGATGGGAGTGAAAACCCTGGCGCATTGATTGCTGAGGTGGGGGAGGAGGTGATTTTTAATGGTATGTGGCTAGAACTAATAAAGGAGTGCTAATAAAGGTGCGGCACTTAATGGTGTCACCCCCCTTTACGGGGACAAACTTTCAATTTTCGATTTGCACCCCTCCCCCTTAAAATTTCGATTTGCATTCCCCCCCCCTTAAACTTTCGATTTGCACCCCACCCCCTCAAACTTTCAATTTGCACCTCTTAAAAGACTATTTAACACTTTAACACTCGAATTAATCACTTAATTAAGTGGAATTATCATTTTTTCTCTATATATTTTACTATTTTTTGCCTTGGTGTCACCCCCTAAATGGTGTCACCCGGTGCGGTCCGCACCCCAGGCCCCCCCCCCCCCTCGCTACGCCTCTGAAGGAGGGTAGGTTCACTAAAAGTGTAGTTTTTACATATTTCTGAACGGTTGGGCGACGAAAAGGGATATTGAGATTTGTTATTAAGATTGTTTGTACAAACATATACAAACATATATTTTACAAAAAAGGTTAATTTTTATAATAATTTTGTTAAAATAAGTTGCATGAGATGTTGTTGGTTTTTTTTTAAATTAGGTAAATAAAATACATTTTTTTTTATAAATGCACTTTTTCACATCGCGACATAGCTACGAAAATAAAAATATTTTGGGGGACTGACCGACTATGAGCATGAAAGTATCTAATTTAAATTTAAAATACATTTAAAAACTAGAACTAGCCATAATATGTTAAAAACAACGATTCTTTCAAATGTACGAAGGTAGGGGGGGGGGGGGGTTAACTAACGTATACCACACACGACGGTATTTCTGATAAAGTATCAGAGGTAAAGTTATTGATAATTGAAACAGTGCGGGATGTCAACTAGTGTTTGATATTCACAAAAAGAGAATCATGGGATTAATCCAGGAATGTGAGATAGTGGATTAATGGGAAGAAGTGAGGAGGGGTACGCGGATTATTACGGTAATGAGTGTATTACGATAACGTGTGTCTTACTATAATTTGTCTATTGCACTGTGCTACTGCAGTAGCTTATGTATTATGGTAACTTATATACTGCGATAATTTGTTAATAACAGTAATTTGTGTTTTGTTTTTACTTTTACCACAGTATTAAGGTAACTTTTGAAGGTAACTTGTATATTACAGGAACGTGTGTATTACGAGATAACTTATGTATTACGGTAATTAGTATCTAACTGATACATGCGCATTATGGTAACTTATGTATTACGGTAATTTGTATTTAACTGATACGTGTGCATTATGGTAACGTGTGTATTACAGTAACACGTGCATTGCTTTATCCTACATCTGGCCGTATTCCCCTTTCTAATGCATCATCCAATATACGCAACGTATTTTTTAAATGCAAATTATCCCCCACTTGACGCGATACGTCGCCAAAAATGTATTCCCACAATACGTAACAGCCATTAATTAGTCGTGTAATTTACGGAAATAATATTCAAATAAATGTGGATGTGGTATACATTTTTATACTCTCAGAGGAGCCATACGTCATATTGGGCTACATGAAAACAAAATAATTTGACTGCTCCTGTTCGATATTGACGCAGGATGTGACTTGGTTTATGGATACTTTGAATACGGGTTTTAATTAGATAGGAGTTCGGTACGTGTGTGGGATATGTGTGGGCTAAGAGTTGCATTTTGTGTGGGATATGTGCGAATATGCGTGTGGTATTTGTGGGATATTTGTGGGATATGTGTGGAATAAGTTGTAGGTTATGTTAGATAATAAGATATAGGTGTGGGATATATATATATATATATATATATATATATATCTATATATATATCTATATATATCTATATATATCTATATATATATATATATATATATATATATATATATATATATATATATATATATATATATATATATATATATATATATATATATACATATTTATGCATGTATAATTTAGGCTATTTAAACCAGACATAACCTAAGCAACTAGTTTTAATATTTTTTCCCTCGAACATGTAGTTTACAGCATCGGTTGTACTTACCTCCTTGTTCGTTTTAGTATCATAGTTTTCATTAACGGCTTGTAGGGACTAATACAGATTAACAATGGCTATATTTTTTTCAGATTTTTACTTTCATTCATTTACAATGATTTAATAATTAGATAGTTTTAAATTAAATCCAAAGAAAAGTTTGCATTTTCAGACTGATATAAAGCACTTGTATACTTATTTTTTTGCATTGTATAAATTCCATTTATTATTATTTCCATCGTCATTTTAATTTGCCTTTGTGTTTTATTGTGCTATATTTACCAAAATATGTAAAAGCCTCATCTCTTTAGGTTTGGAGTAACAAAGGGAAGTAATACGTATTATTATTCATTTTAAAATTTAAGATACGCAATAAAGCATAATAAAACAACTGCAATTTTCAATTAGAAGTAAAAATAAACAAATTATAATTTTGAAAATATTAAGTAAAAGTTGTGTGTGATTTTTTTCTGTATGCGTATACTGGTTTTTAAAATCTTAAACAGAAACTTATTGAACAACAGGTTAGTAATTGACTGTCGTTTGCTACGTAATTACGCGAATTATATCATTAAACATTATTGCGTATGACACTTGATCATCGTCTAGTTCTTTGGCCATTTAATTTTCTCTCTTTGATTATTATATATGCAATTGATGATCATATCTATGATGCTGTGTAAAACTTTCAAACAAATTATTATTACTGATTTAAATGTTTAGACAATTGAATTAAAAAAAATATTATTTTATTTGTCAAAAACTTGATTAATTAGTGATTTAAAAAAACCAGAGTGATCTTCGTGTAGAGCAGGAAAATGGATGGTGATAAAAAATGTGGGACTTTAGTATGATTTTTCTTTTTTCCTTTTTAGCAATTCATGATAAGCATGTTCTGGTAATCAAAACTGAATTCAAATAAATTAAAAAATAATAATTGAGAACCAACAAGAAATTATTTTTATAAATGTAATTTCCGAAGAAAAAAAAAATTATTTTAATTTTTGCAAGTTCAATGGGAATTCCTTAAAAAAAAAAACAACAACATCGATATCCTTTAACCAAGAAGGGCACCTTTGAAATAGTCACAGAAAAATCTGTTTTCGGCATATTGATCCCGGCAACTCATGGAGACCACGTCAAACTTGTACCCGGGTGGACAGGTGCGATAACTCAGGACACCTCTTTGACAGGTGTAGTAGGAGGAGCAACTCGTGTCGTTCCATGAGGGGTAGTTGTAACTGGGCACGTCAGAGGGACAAGGGTAGGTACAGTTCTCTGTGGGCTTGTCTGGAAATTAGAAGAAAAAAAAATATCCATCAAATATCTGATTTTAATATTTGCTGTATTTTCCTTTGAGGCCCTTCTTGTTTAGCAAGGTGGGGGGAAAGGGTAATCTTCAACTAAAAGACCGTATGAATCATTTGCCGATTTTTGACAAATTACTATTGTCATGTCACGTGTTGTCACTAATCTCAAGACCTTCCGACACCCCCCCCCTCCCCACCCCCTCACCCCCGTAACAATATTATATCACCTTGACCACAATATTATATCACCTTGACCACAATATTATATCACCTTGACCACAATATTATATCACCTTGACCACAATATTATATCACCTTGACCACAATATCATATCACCTTGACCACAATATTATATCACCTTGGCCACAATATTATATCACCTTGACCACAATATTATATCACCTTGACCACAATATTATATCACCTTGACCACAATATTATATCACCTTGACCACAATATTATATCACCTTGACCACAATATTATATCACCTTGACCACAATATTATATCACCTTGACCACAATATTATATCACCTTGACCACAATATTATATCACCTTGACCACAATATTATATCACCTTGACCACAATATTATATCACCTTGACCACAATATTATATCACCTTAACCAAAATATTATATCACCTTGACCACAATATTATATCACCTTGACCACAATATTATATCACCTTGACCACAATATTATATCACCTTGACCACAATATTATATCACCTTGACCCAAGTTCGACGCCACAATGATACCGGTATAATGCATCAACTTCATCATTTATAACTTCATCATTTACCGACAACAGCATGCGTAGCATACAATAGCTAAAAATAGTCTTCAGGAACATATCCTAGCATGGAGTTGAGCTGTATTTCCAATGAAAATTGTGTTACAAATACATCTGCTACAAATGTTAACTGAGTTTATGAAGAACTACAAATGGAACGTCATCCAATACTAATAGTTGAAATGCGCATGTTATTATAGGGCTGGTAAGTAGGTCACCATCCAGTTCTATGGCTCATGCAGGTTTTATTGAGCCGTAGAACTGGTTGGTGACCTACTTACCAGCCCTATAGTTGTGACTGATAACTCGAAAGACACGGACACGACTGATAACATTTCGTTTAGCCGTACCCAGGGCCGGCGCTACCTATAAGGCAAACTAGGCGGTCGCCTAGGGCGCTATCCTCAAGGGGGGGGGGGGGGCGCAAAAGGTTCAATCGCTTCTATCAAAAAGTACCTAATAATTAATAACTTTTATAAAGGAGTAGCGATCTATTTCGGCACCTAGGACGAACTGTCAATTTTGCGCCCCCACTCCTAAATTAGGTCTATATAGGCCTATATTTATTCGCGATGGTGAAAATGCAACCCCACCTCCCTAATTTGGAAAGGTCGGGGCGCTTTTTACCAGTTACTTAGCCTTTTTTAAATTTGGTGTCACATAATTGATGTAGAAAACGATTAAATAAGTTCGTAATTTAAATTTCAAAAGGTCATCTAATTTTAATAGGGTTTGAAAGTCTCGATTGCTCTGACTTTGAATTAGATATTTGTCCTGGTCAGTGGCGTAGCCAGGATCGTCTCAAAGGGGGGGGGGGGGTTCCAATTTTTACCCGGGGACAAATTTTCGATTTGCACCCCCCCTCAAACTTTCGATTTGCACCCCCCTCAAACTTTCGATTTGCACCCCCCCCCCCATCAAACTTTCGATTTGCACACCCCCTCATACTTTATATATATATATATATATACCGAGGGGTTATGACCCCCCTCCTGCCTACGCCACTGGTCCTGGTGAATAGAGTTTTGTAATGACGGGGTGTTCAAAGTATTGTAATTGTTTGGTAAATTTTGATGAATCGTTTAGATCTGGGAGTAACGTCGGAAGGCTGTTGCTGATATGGTTTCGTAGGTATAAAGTATCGAAGTGTTAAAGTGTCATAATTTTTATTCGGCTGTTTTGTACTTGAAGATCTAGTGGAATCTGATTGATAATAGAGAATGCAGGTGATGAAGTATCGTAGTTCTGAAATTCGGGAGTATTGATTATTGTGGTATTAAGGTATCGAATTTTATTGTAGTGTAGCAGTAGATCCAGTGAAATCGTTGTTGATTGAGAGTACCGTTTGTAGAGCTGGTGAAGTTGAACGAGTTGGTGTCGTAATTCTGGAGCATCGAGTCTAGTTATGTTTAAGTATCGAAGTTTAGTATGTGTTGTTTATGTAGTAGAGTATTTCGAGTAGTCGAGTTTATAGAAAGTTAGATGATTTCAATTCAGTATGGAACACACCACAAAGAAAGGAGGGCGTTCTCTAGTTGAAAAATCTTGTTTTTTAGGTATCTATATTACCGCTCTCAAAGTATTAATATATAATGTTAAATAGGATGGAATTTTATAACTAACCGTAAACTTTGTTTTTACTCAAATTATATTTTTTAAAAACTTCAATCAATAATCCTAGCAATGTCTAAAGCAGTTAACCATATTTGAATTTTTCGAAAGCCGTCCCTTTATTTAAGGGATCCAAAATTTTATAAATTGAATCACGTGTGGCAGTGCGATTAATTGTATGTCTTTATAATTGAATAGAAGTATGTAATAATAAAGCTACCGTTATTGGACTTTCAAACAAAACCTACAATTAAGTATTCAATAAGTAAAATATATTGTTTTCACAAAGTCACACAGATAATAAAATATATTTATATAATTATTACGTAATGATATTTAAAGCGTTTTACTGTGTTTTTTCAAGCATGTCTTAGTTACACTAGGTTAATTTAGCTATTCTTGTGAAAGTTATTTCCCTTGAATTCAATTTTGGTATTTGGATTTTCAAATGGGAGATAATTCGTTGCTTAACTTTACATTCATTTTAAATTCCTGCACCTTAGGTTGACCGCCTACATATAAATACAACTTTAAGTTATAATGTGCTATTGTAAAAATAATATAGCGCTTAAGTTCTAAACAAAATAGTTTGGTGGGTTTTTTTAGCATTATCAAGTTCAAAAACAAATACATCAGTAGCCGATGTAGATTGCAATACTTAATGTTAGTAGACATACAATCTTAATCGTAAATTAAACATCTAATTAATTGTCTTTTTCACCCTCTCCTAAACAAAGCAAAATCGTTACATAATCAATCAATATAGACATTTTACAATTATAACTAAAGACAGGCAAACTTAAAACAGGTAAGTTCCGTTTTGGAACTCACCTTGGGAGGGCTGCAGAGAGCCCAACACTACACGATTTTTTTTTCAGTGTTTTTTTTCAGACTTTTTTTCTCCCTGAAGGGGGGGGGGGGGGGAAGCACTTAAAATTTTCTAAGGGGGGGGTGCTATGTCGTAAAGTACAAAGTAGATCCGTGGACTTAGCACCAATTTCAATAGAATGTGATTACGCTTGCAAACTGGAATTGCAAGGAATTAGTACAAACTTTTGATACGAAGGAGGCACCTAAAATTTAATTTTGATGTCTACTTATAACGTGTATGCAATTGCTAATAAATAAATACGACACTTTTAATTAATTGTTTTCTTACACATATGTTTTAGTAACTAATTTGTGTAAAAGGGGGCGTTTTAAGAAGTTTTGCCTACGGCGCTAAAATTAAATAACCTGGCGCCATCACTGGCCGTACCCCTAAACAGGATAGTTTATAACAAGGCATGCACTTCTAGAACATAATCCTTACTGTAGCCGATTTTAAAAAAATAAATTAAAAAATAACCGCCAACTTAAACATAATCCTTACGGTAGCCCATATAAAAAACATTACTAATACCTCACCGTCAACCTAAACATAATCCTTACGATAACCTTAACGTAATGAAGTATTTAAGTGAATGGATCACAAGCATGCCTAAACTACAATCACAGAGTTCATTTAAAAACGTTGAAGTCGTAATCTTAAACTATATTTACATATTTCACAGCTCCAGCCTGAGTATTGAGGGGGGCATATACAGGTTGCCTCGTAGGTCATTGCCACACAGGTGCCACCGTTGATGCAGGGGTTGGGGTTACACGGGGAGGCTGTGGAAGAATAGTACACAGGTTATGATGACGTAGGTGTTGTTAAACGCACTGTGAAGCAAAGGGTTGACATTATTTTCAACAAGATAGCAAACAAATGCTGATATGTAATGATTATGTTTACAGTTAGGGTAAATGTCATATGCATGGAAGGATTTTTTTACAGGGTGTGGAAAGTGGGCAGAGTTTCTTACAGGCATCTCCCGACCCCCCCCCCCCCCCCCCGAAGAAAGTCTACCGCCCCCCCCCCCCCCCCCCCAAAGAAATGAAATTTATATACAAAATATATAATTTTAACAGTGTCCCCCCCCCCCCCCCCAAAAAAAAAACTTCAAGTGCACCCCCGGAGAAAAAAAACTCTGGAAGAAACACTGGGTGTGGGTGTGGTAGGGGATTCTGTTCTCAATCAAATCAGGTAGACAAGAATGTACAGTACCTGTGTTCATTTTGTGAAATCTCGAATAATTACAGGTAGACTAATTAATATTTGTTGTAATTAGTTATTCTACTCACCATTCATTTATATTGATTAATATTTTAAAAAAAAACTGTTGTTTCTTTTAAATAGTTGCTTATTACAATAGCTAGGCCATTTATTAAATAATGTAAGCCGGGCATTGCTCCTTCTACTTCTAATGGACCCAAACGAAAAAAAAAAAACCTCTCGAAATTATTCGAAAAGCTCATTAAATATATTTAAGACCATGTAGGATGTTATTAAAGTAAATATGGTTATAAAATCCTGGCTGATTAGTTTTCGTCGGACCTCAACAAAGATTGCATGTCTTTGATGTTTTACTTTCTCGTATATACAAAGTATAGAGTATAGAGAAAGTCTTGTAATCGTGCAAAAAAAAATCGAGATTTTTGCAAATCTCGACGTTTTACGCCTCCCTGAGTCGGAAAAACATAGTTTTGCAATCTTGTCCGTATGTCTGTGTGTGTATGTGTGTCTGTGTGTGTGTAAACACGATAACTTGAGTACCGTTACAGCTAGGTCGATAAAATTTATTTCATATATAAATATTTTATCAAAATCGTAGATCCGTATCAACTTTTGAGCGATTTCTGATAACCGGAAGTGGTACTTTTTCTTCTTTGAATTTTTCAAAAGCCTATAAAGTACTATTTCAGATAGATAAATGAAAATTCACATGTAAGTAAAAGATCTGTCAAATTTTGAGTAATTTCCGTTCACCGGAAGTAATAATTTTCTCAAAAAACTAATAAAAATTTTTAAAGTACTAATAATATTGCGCACTATTATGCGCTTTTTTATTTGGCGTTCACTTGGTGTGCAATTAATTTGTCTACGAAATTTTATTCTATTTTTAAAACTTTAAGTATTTAAAATGGATTAAAATCATGTCTATATCCCGAGTTCCAATCCCCTGTTGTTTTATATAAGAATATTCGAGAAAGTTTAGGGGAGATCACTCCCGGTTTGTTAGTATTTTCAGTAACTAAACAATTTAAAAAAACAACAAAACGAAAGCTATTTCAAAATACATGGGGCATATGAAGTAGAGTTCCATTGATTTGAACCCCGGATTCGAACTCGTGATTCTAATGTTAGCAGTCAAACTCTCTACCGCTAGGCCACGCTGTCCCTTTGATTTTGTGTTGTCACTGGAATTTTTAGTGAAAATGTAAATAAATATTGTATAACTAGGACATGTGGTTTAAAAAAGTATATATATTTTTTTTTTAATTTATTGGCAAAGTTTCGAGGACAAATTACTTTCAGAAGATCGTTCACCGAGTTTCTGTACAGCCAATCAATGTTTGTTTCACGAAATTCAAACAACAGGTTATAATTTAGGCTTGATCCAAATAAATAGAAATGCAGCATTAAACGCGAAAAAAAAAATATTTTCATGTTCTCTGCATTTGCAACTTTTATAACATATTTTTTTTAAATATAAACATTTTTTCAGGCTTAATTTTTTTTTTGCGGAGGGCCATGAAAGCAATATAGATAAAAAAATACGAGTTTTCGCCCATTTCACTAAGATTGATGGAAACATTCTTGTTAACTTGTTGATGTCTATGGACACAAACAGTCAAAGGGAGGCAAATTAGATATATATTAAACAGGCTTTGTTCGTACCCTCAATTTAACGAGAATGACAATAGCAACGAAAGCTTTCCTTGCCAAGCTAACAACAGTGTGAGTAAAGGTTAAACTGTTTGCTGACGAAGACCAAATTTCGAAACGGAATAGTAATTGTCCTTTAATTACGAGATTATTAAGACCGAATCATAAATTAGAAGCACCTAGGTAACAAACCTAGATATAAAAAGATATAAACACAAATTTAAAATGCGATAAAATGAATAAATATGGATATATATATATATATATATATATATATATATATATATATATATATATATATATATATATAATTAAATTATTAAAAAAATAATTAGATGCTTAGACAACAATTATCAATTATTTGTTTCTATGTATATGTAGAGATGTTGGTTACTTTCCTTCCTGTATATATTGTAATTAAATTTTGGTGAAGCTATTCAAAACCTTAAACTTAATTAAATCTCTTTAACTAAAACTGACAGTTTAAAACAAGCTTAGTATAAAAAATGGCCAATGTCTTAGGTTTGCTAGAAACACAAGGTATAGAGTCGGGATATACATTAGTCTAAATCCCGCAGGTTATCGTTTATAACTAACAAGTTCGACTTTGCGTTAAAATGTTAGAAAACTATTTTTTAAATTTACATTTTTCAAAATGATTAATTATATTGAAACGATAAGGATATATAAATTATTATTATATGCTTTTCAGTAAACTAATCTGAAGTTAGAGTATTGAAACAAAACCCTAATATTTTAGAAAGTTCAAAGTGCTAAATGAAATCATCATGTTTGTTATTTATGGTAAAGTAAAAACGTGTTAAAACGAAATGGCACCTTTAAAATAGTCACAGAAAAATCTGTTATCTTCATTTTGATCTCGGCAACTCATGGAGACCACGTCAAACTTGTACCCGGGTTGGCAGGTGCGATAACTCAGGACACCTCTTTGACAGGTGTAGTAGGAGGAGCAGCTCGTGTCGTTCCATGAGGGGTAGTTGTAACTGGGAACATTAGAGGGGCAGGGGTAGGTGCAGAGTGGATTGGGCGTGTCTGGAAATTAGAAGAAAAAAAATGTCTATCATATATCTGAATCATGGCGACATGGATTTCAATATTTAAAAAAAAATTTGGCTACATATTCCTTTAAGGTAATTCCTGGTTAGAAGATGAGGGTTGGAGGTTATCAAATAGAGGACATTATAAAATTTGGCTGCCGATTTTAACCAAATTACTATGGTCATATGTCTGTCACAAAGCTGAATACCTCACCCACTGTGACGTTAGTGTTACCCTCGCGTGACATCAGCGTGACGCCACAGTGACATCAGCGTGACGCCACAGTGACGCCTGTGATTAGGCGCTCCGGGCTCTCCCATGAGCACTATGGCGCTTAAGTTCGTTTTTAAGAGTTTGATACACATAAACACGGTGTGCTATAATAATAAATTACTAAATCGAATCAGACGAAGACAAACGTTGAATTCGAGAAACTGAAGCACTTACATATGGCTATGGTGGTAGTTGTTACTCCAGTAGACGTCGCTGTTGATTTTAGAGTTGTGGTTGGCGTGGGTGTGGTTGTTGATGCTGAAGTCTTAGTAGTTGCGGATGATGTTGTTGCGGTCGGCTTAGTTAAGGTTGGCGAAGTTGTAATTGTTGTGGCAGATGTCTTTGTAGTTGTGGTGGGAGTAGTTGTTGGTGTGGTTGTAGTTGTGGTTGTTGTAGGTGACGTCTTTGTAGTTGTGGTCGGCGTAGTTGTTGTTGGTGTGGTTGTAGTTGTGGTAGTGGTTGTTGTAGGTGAGGTCTTTGTAGTTGTGGTCGGCGTAGTTGTTGTTGGCGTGGTTGTAGTTGTGGTTGTTGTGGGTGTTGTCTTTGTAGTTGTGGTCGGCGCAGTTGTTGGCGTGGTTGTAGTTGTGGTTGTTGTGGGTGTTGTCTTTGTAGTTGTGGTCGGCGCAGTTGTTGTTGGCGTGGTTGTAGTTGTGGTTGTTGTGGGTGTTGTTTTTGTAGTTGTGGTAGGCGTAGTTGTTGTAGGAGTGGTAGTGGTTGTTGTGGGTGTTGTCTTTGTAGTTGTGGTCGGCGTAGTTGTTGTTGGAGTGGTTGTTGTTGTTGTAGGTGACGTCTTAGTAGTTGTGGTCGGCGTAGTTGTTGTTGTTGGAGTGGGTGTGGTTGTTGTGGGTGTTGTCTTTGTAGTTGTGGTCGGCGTAGTTGTTGTTGGAGTGGTTGTAGTTGTGGTTGTTGTGGGTGTTGTCTTTGTAGTTGTGGTCGGCGCAGTTGTTGTTGGCGTGGTACTAGTTGTGGTTGTTGTGGGTGTTGTTTTCGTAGTTGTGGTCGGCGTAGTTGTTGTTGTTGGAGTGGTTGTGGTTGTAGTTGTTGTGGGTGATGTCTTTGTAGTTGTGGTTGACATAGTTGAAGTTAGTTTAGATGTGGTTGTTGTAACTGCAGTGGTTGACGTCGCCTTGAGTGTGGTTGTCAGCGCAGTGGTTGGCAGGAATGTGGTTGTCGAGGCTGTGATGTTTAAACAATAACCTTGTTATATTTTTGTTTTACTTTAGACTAGTGGTTCTTAGCCTTTTTGGTGGTACTGAACCCCACCAGTTTCACATTCGCATTAAACGAACCCTTCTATAGTTTCACGCTGAAAAAAAAAATCACGAATAATACTAGTCGGGTTTGTGTCTTGCTCTCCGCCGAGCCCCAGAGACTGACTCACCGAGCCCCTGAGACTGACTCACCGAACCCCAGAGACTGACTAACCGAACCCCAGAGACTGACTCACCGAACCCCTGGAGTTCGATTGAGCCCAAGTTAAACACCACTGCTGTTGACCAGTTTTTTCGACTTATAAGTTCAGCTTCATATGTTTGTTTCTTGAACAGCGTAGCCTACTTGGCAATATTAATCTTGTACACAGAGTTTCTTCCAGGCATCTCTTCCGAACGAGATGGATTTTATATAGTAAACACACACTTTTACTAGTGTCCGCTCCCCCCCCCCCCCCCTAAATGTTGACCGCCCCCCCCCCCCGAAAATTTCTAGTGCCCCCCCTCCCCCGGAGATAAAAGTCTGGAAGAAACACTGGTTGTACACCAACCCGCCCCCCCCCCCCACACACACACACCCTTACACCTCCATAAAATAGGTTTTTGGATTTGTGAATGAGTCTAATAATTGATTATGTGCAGCTGTTGGGAATAGAATTATGACAAATTCATCAGATACGATTTACCTTTCCCTGGTGTTCAATTTTGTTTTTCATGGGTTACCGTTCTTTTCTTATTCATGATTTCTGGCTATAGATTCGTTTTAATCTACTTTCTTCGAATTTAGAATATTATTGTTTTTTGTAAAATATCAAAAGGTGTTATATGAATTTTTCAAATTAGAAAGAAAATTTAAAAAACTAGTTAGATAAAGATACAAATATAAATGCGACAAGATAATACAAAAATATATAAAAGCACAGGGTTAAAAATATGATATATATTCAAAAATATTTGTCTATACAAACACAAAAACTATGTAATTGTTTCTATGCAAATTTATAGAAGTTCGTTACCTTCTTTTCTGTATTTATTGTTACTTAATTTTTACGAAACTGTTTAATGTTTATAATAGATTAAATTTCAGCTTATAATTTCGTTTATATTTCACCCTATAGTGTTGTACAAGTCTTCTAAAGATTAACATACCTATTGTTTTCTTTTTCAAAACAATGTCATTATGAATGACATAATATAATTGAACAATTATCGTATTGTAATATGATATGCGGTTGGGGAGGTTGGAAATGTTAACACTAAGATATGTAGGATGTAAATTGAATAGTTTAAAACAAACTTGGCATAAAAATCTGGCAAATGTCCGCAAAATATAGTAAACAACCATGATGTTTAAATTTGTGTTAATGTGTTAAACACTATTTTTAAATTTAAATTTGTCTAAATTATTGGCTATAAATTTTAAATAATAATTGATATTGGTTTATTAGGCGTACTCATTAGTACTTACCCAAATTGTGTTGAATTACTTTAAGAAAAATAAAGTTAAAAACCAGAAAATTGTCTTAAACCTAATAAAAACTTAAACCTCGTAGATTAATCATAAAACTCATCTCTAACTTTATCAAAATAAAATCCTCTAGTTGCGTTTTGTAATATAATTCTTATGTGACAAAAACACACTTAACATAATGAATACGATTACATAAATGATTATTCTATGATTATGAGTAAACTAATTTGATGTTAGAGTATTGAAAGAAATATAAATTAAAGCTATTTTTATTGTTCGAAAAGAAACTAAAGTGAAATAATAGCTAACAAAGAAAATGTGTGACTAGGTTATCTATCTTGGATTATAAACATGTTGATTAAAGGAATACAAGTAGGCATACCAACATTATTATAGTGATTAATTAAATCAATATATTAAGCAATTAAAAATATTAGCATAAGTGTATGGAGCAAACTGTACAGTATTTTAATATTATAAACTGATTTATTTCCACTTTCTAAACTAGGTTGATGATAATGAAACATATAAAGCAAAAGTAAAAAGCAGCATTACAAAGACAAACAACCCAAATAACTAGATAAACCCAATGGTTAGTTTTTAAAAAAGTTAATTCTTTAATGCACATTAGAATTTTAAAAAGCAAAAAAAAATTAAATTAAATTAAATCATAATAGTCCAAATAGCATTAGAAACACAATGTATATATATATATATATATATATATATATATATATATATATATATATATATATATATATATATATATATATATATATATATATATATATATATATATATATATATATATATATATATATAAAGAGATAACCATAACTTAAAATTTCCGTTTATAAAATTAGAATTTAGTGCTTTTTAAGTTCAAAGTGCTAATTGAAATCATGTTTGTTATTTTTGGTAAAGTAAAATATAGTTAACCCTGAATGACACCTTTGAAAAAGTCACAGAAAAATCTGTTATCTTCATTTTGATCCCGGCAACTCATTGAGACCACGTCAAACTTGTACCCGGGTTGGCAGGTGCGATAACTCAGGACACCTCTTTGACAGGTGTAGTAGGAGGAGCAACTCGTGTCGTTCCATGAGGGGTAGTTGTAACTGGGCACGTCAGAGGGACAGGGGTAGGTACAGTTTGGGTTGGATTTGACTGTGAATTTGAAGAAGAAAAAATATTGTAGAACCTTTTTTTAAACTCTTAAACATATTGTTATAGGCAACAAAAAATACAGGCTATGTATTCAGTGGCGTCATTAGGTGAGGCTATACATGACCCACCCACCCCCCTCCTCAATCAATCACCTCGAGTAGAAAAATATGTGTGTCATACCCTACTGGGCATTTAGCCATTATTTATACGTTTAAGGGTCGGCGTGGTCGAGTTGATAAAGCTCATGGATGCTACACCGAAAAGTATCGAGTTCGAACACTCGGGCAGATGAGGCTCGTTAGCTGGGGACAGCCACTCTTCTAGGAGAGACAACTCCAAAATCAAACAACTGCTGCTTTGTAGTTTGTTCTTAGTTGGACAAAGGCTATGGAAGCAAATCCAAAAAGAAAAGCAGGCTGAAATCGGAGTCAATGGCCTCAATGGCGCATAACCAGCTGACACGTATCCTTAATTGTTATGGAGGCGTGGTCGAGTCGGCAAAAAGTTCGTGGTTGATAAATTCGAAAAAAAAGTCTCGAGTTCAAACCGTCTGGAAGATAAAGCTCGATCCCTTCCAACACTAAAAATTAAGAACGAAGAAGATACGTTTAAGATGTAGCCTATATGTTTAAAACTTTAAGAGTCTGATAAATTAACATAATTTTCGGTTTGGTATCGCATCATTGGTGTTGTGCCCCCCCCCCACACTGTTACGCCTCCATCCCCTTCCACCCCTCTACCCAAAGACGCCATTTTAGTGGTCTACAAACGCAATACAGAGTAGCGAGCAGTAACTCTTCGGTATGACACTGCCTTCCTCCTCTCCCCACCCCCAGAGCACGACCACATTCAAAACATTTCAGAACATTGTTACCAACACGAAAATACACACACATACACACACACATAAGTAAAGTTCCCTTTCGAACCTGACGGTCCACGGGGCAAGTGAAGTAGAGTTCACTTGTTTCTGTGACCTCGGCATATGAAGGGATAGTGTTGTCAGCACTATGCCCAGCCGCCTTTACTTACCCTAACGTAAGTTAGGTACCCATCAGAGTTGGGTGGACTCAGGGACGGTCTACTGACTTGAACCCAGATTCGAACTCGAGACTTACGGGTTAGCAGTCCAGCTCTCTAACGCTAGGCCACTCCGTCTCATACACACACATACACATACATACATACATATATATATATATATATATATATATATATATATATATATATATATATATATATATATATATATATATATATATATATAGGCTTTATATCTTACATATTTGACAGTTGCTGCCCGAGTACCCAGTCGGACACTGACAGCTGTATTCAAAGGCGCCTCCCATACAGGTGCCGCCATTGAGGCAGGGGTTGGGGTCACACTGGGGCGAGATGGTGGCTGTGGAAGACAGCATTCAATTAGTGAGTGTATGTTTTTATACTCTCTATCCGGGGTGGAGGTGGGGTGGGGGTGGGTGGGTGAAGGTGGGGTGGGTTGGGGTGGGGATGGAGGTGGGGTGGGGGTGGGGGTGGGGATGGAGGTGCGAAGGCTGTGGAAGACAGCATTCAAGGGGTCAGTGTAAGTATTTCTACTCTAGCCGGGGTGGGGGTAGGGGTGGGGGGTGTGGCGCGATGGCTGAGGAAGATGGCATTCAATTAGTGAGTGTAAGTGTTTATACTCTAGCCTGGGTAGAGGTGTGGGGGGGGGGGGAGGGGGGCTGGAGGCGCGATGGCCGAGGAAGATGGCATTCAATTAGTGAGTGTAAATATTTATACTCTTGCCGAGGTGGGGGTGGAGGCGCGATTCCTAACTGAGAATTCGCCAGTTGGGTATCCATGGCTCGAGTCTTGAGGTGGTCTAGACGGAAACTTCCCCGACCCTCGTCAGATCCAAACAAGGTGGTGTGTGGTGGGACGTGGATAAAATTCTGATGGAATCCGAACGTCTTGTAATATAGGTGTGAGAAATACTTGATTGTTCATCATGTGATGGCCTGTCTGTTTATGGGGCTTGTAAGTCTCTGTTTCTCTCGCATAAAATTCGAAATCTCGTCAGCCAGAGAGAGATTTAGATTTTCGAACAAAACTAATTTTTTTAACATGATTCCCATTTACGATTTTAAGTAACTTAACTATTGCAGGGTAACTTTTCTATTATTTTTTTACCGATTGAATAAAAAAATTGTTTTAGATATACTAGCAGGCAAGTACGAGAACGAGAAGATGGTGACCTACTTACAAGCCCTATTGACCTATTGCCATATTAACAATAGCCCAAACCGCATGAGCCCGTAGATATATGAGTGGGAACGATTTTTGTAAGATTTTTTTTTCTCAAAAAGTTTTCATTGAATTAATTCATGAAATGAAGGGTTAAAGTAACTAAAGGCCACAAATATACCCAAAGAGAATAGTCTGTAAATTATCTGAAAGGCCCATACATTATTTTAAAAATCATGTACGATGTTACTAAAATAAATATGGTTATAAAAATCTGTTTGAATTTTTGTTTTGACTTTACTAAAGATTGGATGTATCTGATGTTTTTAGTATTTTCGGTAACGAAACAAAATTTAAAATAAAAAAAGCTAAAAAAATTATCTGTGTATATTTAAATTAATTTAATCACTGAAAATAACAACAAACATGGCTGAGCTAGGTCGATTAGTTAAAAAAATGTTTTTATTTAGAAATTGTATAGGAAAAGTTTTGAGTACAAATTACTATATGTTTTTATGAAGTATTGATCTTGAAGATCCTGTACGGTTAACCGAGGCTTGTCTTACGAAAGTTAAACATCGGGTTATGGGATCATCCATAAATGACGTCACGCTTTTTTGACGATTTTTAACACCCCCCCCCCCCGCCCTCCGTCACACCTCAGCCTACAACCCCCCCCCCCCTCAAAATTGCTGTTGAATTTTTCTTAAAACATCAATATTTTTCCAAAATCTTGTCAGACATACAGTATCTTGTCAACATAGAGTATTTTGATCAATTCCTATTACAATTTATTAAAACCGTTATCTAAAACGCGAAATAACTCGTTTTCTAACATTGCTTTTTTCAAATGAAAAAAAGTGACGTCACACCATCTACCCCCCCCCCCCCTCATCACATACCGTCACAAAATTACTGACCCTCCTCCCCCTACGAGTGTGACGTCATTTATGCCCGACCCCTATAAATTATTATGAAAATAAATAGAAATGATGCCTTAACTCAAAAAAATTGTTTTCAAGTTCTCTGGATTTGCAACTTTAGTGACATTAATTTTCTGAATTATTTTTAGGCTTAAGTTTATATTTTTAAAATTATTTTTACGTTCGCTTTGATTGCAAAAGCTAAAAAAAAAATCACGTTTTTAATCCATGTCAACAATGTGATAGAAGGATTCTCGTCAACTCGGTGTCCTCCATTACATGTAAACTGGATAAACAAAATTACCACTTTAATAAGTTTATTAACTATTATAATCAACATTCGCTTTAATAAGCAATAGGGTGGGTTTTAAACGAATGTTTTATGTGCGGTGATCTAAAACTGCGTCTACATGGTATTTGCATTTTAGAAAATAACTACTGAGAGGGCTAAAAACAACTACTGCGAGAAAGCAGCTTAGATGGAACAAGGGAGCACACTGATTTTAATCGTCTTGATTTTAAGCGGGTAGCTTTTAACCATCGTTTCGTAAAATTATTTTCTAATTATTTTTAAATAAATAAATAATTAAGAATAAAATAAATAAATAAATTGTCTTAAAAATTAGTCATTTAAAAATAATTGAATATTTAATTTTTTCCAGATCCAGTATTTTATCGCCAAACACAGTAACTTTATTTTTATTCAACCGTAGTACGTACATGTTGGTGCGCTGGTCGTAGTTGAAGAGGTGGTAGACGGCGTTGATGTCGATGTTGAAGTGATGTTGCAGCTGCTTCCTGTGTACCCGCTATAACAGTTGCAGATGTTGTTGTTACAGTATCCGTTTATACAGTTGTTGTAGCTGCATGATCTAATTATAGGATCTGGAAATTTAAAATTCAAGTAGATCTAGATCTATGTGGTTTCTAGCAAACAATAGACATTTTAAAATAATATTGGTTCTACAAATAGACAAGATAACAAAATGTAGGGTATACAAATCGACTTATTTATTATGTGGTTTCTAAATAAAAATATTTTTCAAGTGTCTGGTTTCTAAAAATAAAGATTTTAATCGGTGTTTTCTCAGGATGTAGACATTTTAAAATGCTGTGGGTTATGACAATAGACATTTTAAATTGCTGTGTTTTGTGAAAATAGACATTTTAAATTGCTGTGGTTTGTGAAAATAGAAATTTTAAATTGCTGTGGTTTGTGAAAATAGACATTTTAAAATGCGGTGGTTTCTGGAAATAGACATTTTAAATTGCTGCGGTTTGTGAAAATAGAAATTTTAAAATGCTGTGGTTTCTGGAAATAGACACTTTAAAATGCCGTGGGTTATGAAAATAGACATTTTAAATTGCTGCGGTTTGTGAAAATAGAAATTTTAAAATGCTGTGGTTTCTGGAAATAGACATTTTAAAATGCTGTGGGTTATGAAAATAGATATTTTAAAATGCTGTGGTTTCTGGAAATAGACATTTTAAAATGCTGTGGTTTCTGCAAAAAGACATTTTAAAATGCTGTGCTTTGCGAAAATAGTCTATCTTATTAGTCTGTAGCACCATAGGGAACAACCAAAGAGATACACAACAAAGAAAAAGTCGGTAAATGTTATGGCAAAATGGAAACACAATTAAACTTTTTTTTCCGGTTATCCAACAAGTTTTGCCGCTTTTTTTAAAATACAAGTTTCTCATAGACACATAGCACTCAAATAACTCTTACTAATTAATATTAAATGTTATACCGAACAAAGAGATATCTTAATTACATAGTGTTTGTAATATTTCTACATAAATTTCATAATTTTTGTTGCAGTTTGTTGTGCTGTGAAATGGATTCGCTCATTGTTAACAATCTGTAAAGTCAACAGCGTCAAGTTCAACTCACCTGTAAAGTTAACAGTGCCATGTTAAACTCACCTGTAAAGTCAACAGCGTCAAGTTCAACTCACCTGTAAAGTTAACAGTGCCATGTTTGACTCACCTGTAAAGTTAACAGCGCCATGTCTAACTCAACTGTAAAGTTAACAGCGTCAAGTTCAACTCACCTGTAAAGTTAACAGCGCCATGTCTAACTCACCTGTAAAGTTAACAGCGTCAAGTTCAACTCACCTGTAAAGTTAACAGCGCCATGTTTAACCCACCTGTAAAGTTAACAGCGTCAAGTTCAACTCACCTGTAAAGTTAACAGTGCCATGTTTAACTCACCTGTAAAGTTAACAGTGCCATGTTTAACTCACCTGTAAAGTCAACAGCGTCAAGTTCAACTCACCTGTAAAGTTAACAGTGCCATGTTTAACTCACCTGTAAAGTTAACAGCGTCAAGTTCAACTCACCTGTAAAGTTAACAGTGCCGTGTTTAACTCACCTGTAAAGTTAACAGCGTCAAGTTCAACTCACCTGTACACGTGAGACCTGTAAATCCAGTGCTCGCACAGTCGCAGGTGTAGCCGCTGTCGCTGTTGGTGCAGGCACCATTGTTCTGACAGGGTAGGCTCAAGCAGTAGTTATCTGGTTGACAGAAGACAATCTCTGCTGTTACTGAATGGCGTGGCCTAGCGGTAGAGCGCTAGACTGCTAACCCGTAAGTCTCGAGATCGCGTTGAACTAAGTAGAAAGTCCCTGAGTCCACCCAGCTCTGATGGGTACCTAACTCACATTAGGGAAATTAAAGACGGCTGAGCATCATTTCATATGCCGAGGTCACAGAAGCAGGTGAACTCTACTTCACTTACCCCTTCTCAGGTTCGGAAAGGGAGTTTTTAATGTTACTAAGTCAAAGCTTTAGTGATATTCGACAGGAAGCGCAAGTTAAATCTTCTAATTCCATCAAGAACAACAACAATAAACCCAGCAAATGCATAACTCTCTAGACCTTTTCGAGTAGTCTTGATGACATACTAGCTGAAGTTATTTAAATATTGGTGCATTGCCATATATTTAAAGAAAATAATTTATCTTTTCCTTTTTAGAGCATAATTATATAAAAGCTTGTTATTAAAACGTTTTTTATTATCTTTTAATTTATCCTTCGATTTGCTTCCATAGCCTTTGTTTAACCAAGAACAATCTGCAAGGCAACAGTTGTTTCGTTTCAAGGTTGTTTTTTTTTCCCTGCTAGAAGGGTTGCTGCCCCCTTCTAACCATCCTCATCGACCCGAGTTCCAAACTCATCACGTTTGGAGTTAGCAAGCATCAGCTCTCCACCCCAACCACTCCGCCCCCACTGTATCCCATCAAATAATAGGTGGAGGTACAAATAAAAATAATTATTATTGTTGCTGTGACTAAACATTTGCTGGTGTGACTAAACATTTCTTGTTGTGACTAAACATTTGATGAATTTTTGTTTTGTTCTTTTGATGGCACTGTTCAAACACGTAACCAAAAATTTCCACGGGAACAAAAAATAAATAAATGGATTGTTATTTAAATTTTAGAAATATTCTATGTAAAGAGCGAGGTAGATTTAGGTAAACAGTTTATAATAAAGATAATACATTTGGGTGGTACGGCGTGGTTGGCGGTTAGAGCGTATGATTGCTAGCCCGAAAGGTCTTGAGTTCGGATCTCGTTTTAGACTTGGGACTGTTGGAGTTCTCTCCATGCAGCTTTGATGGGTACCTGATTTACATTGGGGAGAGCAAAGGCGACTGGGTAAAGCGCGGACCACACAATCTATTCATACACTGAGGTGAAAAGATGCCAACTCTACTTCATCTGCCGAATGGATCGCTAGGGCTAAAGAGGAACTTTACTTTGGGAGAGTACCAAAAATATAAATATCTAAAGGGACATGACTCACAGTTTGCCACACTTTTCTCCGTAGTATCCATAGTTGCAGTAACATCTGTAGCCATTGATGAGGCTCTGGTCTTGGACACAGACTCCATTGAGGCACGGGTTGGGGCTGCATATGTCTGTCGTTTGTGTATCTAGGGGTGGGGGGGGGGGGGGAGAGAGATGATGGTCATTACAACATGTTATTGTTTGGGACACAGACTCCATTGAGGCACGGGTTGGGGCTGCATATATCTGTTGTTTGTGTATCTAGGGGTGGGGGAGAGATGGTGGGAGATGAAGGTCATTACAACATGTTATTGTTTGGGACACAGACTCCATTGAGGCACGGGTTGGGGCTGCATATATCAGTCATTTGTGTATCTAGGGGTGGGGGAGGGGGGAGATGAAGGTCATTACAACATGTTATTGTTTGAGATAAAAATAAAACTAGAACACGTCTGGTATACAGTTTAAGAACATGAGCATTTACAATGCTTAACCTTTTGTAGTCATAGAAATTTTGTGTTAAATATCTCGAGTACTGGGTTCTACCTTGCTAAGTGCCTACAGGGTTGGTAAGTAAGTCACCAACCAGTTCTACGGCTTAATAAAACCTGCATGAGTTATAGAGCTGGATGGTGACCTACTTACCAGCCCTATAGTCCTTACATCCACCTAAATCTAAAGTTCATGCAAATGTACACATAATCCGTTATATCCCAGCCTACTCGAAATGTGTTAAATATCTCTAGATCTTGTACTGGTTTCTACCTTGCGAAGTGTCTACCTACGTCTATGTATCACTATAAATTTAAAGCTCAGTCCGTTATATTCCAGCGTAGTAGAAAACTGTGAAATATCTCTAGATCTAGTAATTGCTTTGTACCTTGCTAATTGTCTGTAGTACCTACGTCCATCTATCACTATAAATTTAAAGCTCATGCGAATGTACACACAATCCGTTATATTCCAGAGTACTAGAAAACTTTTAAATATCTCTAGATATAGTACTAGTTTCTACCTTGCTAAATGCCTGTATTGCTTATGTCCACCTAAAGCTTATACAAATATACACACAATCCGTAAATCCCAGCGTACTAGAAATATGTGAAATATCTCTAGATCTAGTACTGGTTTTTGCCTTGCTAAGTGTCTGTAATGCATACATCCACTAAAGCAGCTAACTCGTGCAAATGTACACCTATTCCGCTATATTCCAGGGATCTTTTCGAACGAAATGGAATTTATATAGAAAACATACTTTTACCAGTGTCCACTCCCCCCCACCCCCCCCGGAAAATGTTGACCCCCCCTCCCCCCGAAGAAAATGTTTACCCCCCCCCCCTCCCCAACGGAGAAAAAAGTCTGGAAAAAACACTGAGAGAAAACAATCGTGGTTCACTTACTCTGGCACTCCCGCACGAAAATTTTGTCCGCCCCTCCGAAAATATCAAGTGCCCCCCCCCCTCTCCCCCCCCTCTCCCCCCCCTCTCCCCCCCCCCCCGAAAAAGCAAAGTCTGAAAGAAACACTGACAGAAAACATTCGTGGTTTACTTACTCTGGCACTCCCGCACGAAAATTTTGTCCGCCCCTCCGAAAATATCAAGTGCCCCCCCTCTCCCCCCCCCCCCCCCCCACCGGAGAAAAAAAGTCTGAAAGAATCACTGACAGAAAACACTCGTGGTTACTTACTCTGACACTCCGGCACGAAAACTTTGTAGTTGCAGATCTGTTGTACCTGGCTGAACACCAGCCCTGCTGGCAGTTCATGATGAACACCCCCGCCGCCCCACAGGCCTTGAACTTGGTGCAGTCCCCCTCCACGCGCTCCAGGAAGTTGGCGCTGGAGCAGGGGGTCAGGTCGTTGGTCTGGGCCAGGACAGCTTTAAAGGCGAGACCTAGGGGTGGGGAGGGGGTGGAGTTAAGGTGAATGAGTGATGATTGAAAAATAAAAGCAGATTGGAAGAGTCGATTAGTTTAGCAACTACTGCTAGGGGTAGTAATTTTACGGTAGTGTAATTTTAGTTATACATATTACAATAGGGCTGGTAAGTAGGTCACCAATCAGTTATATGGCAGGTTTTATTGAGCCGTAGAACTGGTTGGTGACCTACTTACCAGCCCTATTGTATGGTAGTTTTGTGTTCAAAATATATATAGTAGTTTTCGACCTGTGTGGTATGTCGCAATTTTATACTTAAGTATTGTTTAATGTATAATTAGCAATTTTCGACCAGTGTAGTGTTTAGTGTATAATTATAGTAATTTTATACTACATCAGTGTTTTATTGTATAAGTAATAAATTTATATAGTAGTAGTATGTAATGTAGGCCTATACGTAATACTTTTAACAGTACCATTGAACAGCCGGGTTTTTAACGGAATCATTTAAGTCTCTTAATCAGAGTGTTGATTTAATATGGTGTTCTGTTGACTAATAATGTATAGACTACAATTTGGTTTTAATTTTTGTAAAAGGTATTGGTAGCCTATGTTATTTTAAATGTGTCGGATTTTTAGCTATTTAGTTATTTCTTTGCTTTGTCACTAAGACGTTTCAACGTATAGTAAAGCATATTTCGTTTTGACCAATAACTATCTTATAAAATATTTTTCTCAAACAAGTATGACATTAAAATATATAGGCTTATAATCACGTATAACGGGCAGAGGCGTAGCGACCATTCCCGGCGCCCGGGGACAAACTTTCGATTTGCACCCCCCCTCGAACTTTTCATTTGCACCCCCCACCCCCCTCCCCCTCAAACTTACGATTTGCACCCCCCCCTCGAACTTTTTATTTGCACCCCACCCCCCCCCCTTCAAACTTTCGATTTGCACCCCCCCCCCTTCGAACTTTTCATTTGCACCCCCACCTCAAACTTTCAATTTGGCGCCCCCCCTAAGGTCGGCGCCCGGGGACATATGTCGTCCCCCCCCCCCGCACCCCCCCCCCCTCTCGCTGCGCCTCTGATAACGGGTACAGACGGCTAGTAAATACATAATTACTCAGGCAAGATTGCAAAGTTGTTATGTAAAAATCTAGAAATTTCATCATCGGCTTGTGAGGACTGATACAGATTTACAATAGTAATATTTCTTTCTACTTGTAGCCTACTTTCATTCATTTAAGATGGTTTACTTATACATAGATCTAATTCATAACGTCTAGATATTTTAAAAAAACTGAAAATGCAAATGTGTTATCAAATGATGATTCAAGTGATTTTTTTTCCCTCGGCGTGTTGGGCTGAATTGGGGGGACGGGACGGTGTGGAAATTTTGTGCACAATTTAAACATTTAATTAGAAGAGCTCTGCTACTAGCTGGCGTAATAATTTTAAACATAGAATTTTCCAAAGTCTATACATTAAGTGGTTTTTTCAGATTAATATGTTTCTTATTAATTAAACTTGAGTGAAGTAATAATTCTACAGTTTATAAACTTTAATGAATAGGATAAAGCCATTTAGTGTTTTGAGATTACAGCTAGTATAATAAAAAATATTGGTCATTCTTTTAAAATTTTATTATTTATAGGTCTTCTTGTATTTTTAACGATTTTTGGGAATAGATTTATTTGTTGTCTCCCTTGGTGTTAAAATTTTATTTTATTTTAAATGCCTAATTAAATATGTTTGGCGCGTATTTTGCTGAATCCTTCATATGCGTCATATATTTAAAAACCTATATTATCTTTTTTTAAAAAATCTGCTCCAATGAAAATGCGGTTGAAAAAACAGTACATCGCATTATTTTTTCCGTTTAATTAGGTTTAGTGTTAGGTTTAAGACTAGGATATGTTCAAGTTTAGGGTTAGAATAAGGTTCTTACCCGTTTTCCTAACTCATCCGCCGTCACAAACCCCTCCCTAAACATTCTCAATATATTCCCTGATAACAATGTGTTATGTTAATCAGAGGCGTAGCGAGGGGGAAGGGGGGGGGGGGGGGGGGGGGCGGGGGGTGCGGACCGCATCGGGTGACACCATTTAGTGGGGTGACACCACGGCAAAAAATTGCAAACATGTACAAAAGAAAAATGCTTTTTTGCCATTTCCATTAATGATTAATTAAAGTCTTTTAAGTACAAAACAACAATTATTACAAGAGGGAAGGGGTGACACCATGACGTAAACCTACGTGTTAAACGTATGACAATCAACGGGTTAATCTCACGACAACCCACGGATTAATCTCACTACAACCACGGGTTAATCTCAAGACAACCAGCGGGTTAATCTCACGACAATACACGGGTTAATCTCACGACAACCCAGGTTTAATCTCACGACAACCCACAGGTTAATCTCACGACAACCCAGGTTTAATCTCACTACAACCACGGGTTAATCCAACAACAACCCACGTGTTAATCTCATGACAACCCACGTGTTAATCTCACTACAACCACGGGTTAATCTCACGACAACCCACGTGTTAATCTCATGACAACCCACGTGTTAATCTCATGACAATACACGGGTTAATCTCACGACAACCCAGGTTTAATCTCACGACAACCCACAGGTTAATCTCACGACAACCCAGGTTTAATCTCACTACAACCACGGGTTAATCCAACAACAACCCACGTGTTAATCTCATGACAACCCACGGATTAATCTCACGACAACCCACAGGTTAAGCTCACGACAACCCACGTGTTAATCTTACAACTCACGGGTTAATCTCACGACAATACACGGGTTAATCTCACGACAACCCATAGGTTAATCTCACTACAACCACGGGTTAATCTCACGACAACCCACCTGTTAATCTCACTACAACCACGGGTTAATCTCACGACAACCCACCTGTTAATCTCACTACAACCACGGGTTAATCTCACGACAACCAACGTGTTAATCTCACGACAACCAACAGGTTAATCTCACGACAACCCATAGGTTAATCTCACGACAACCCATAGGTTAATCTCAAGACAACCAACGGGTTAATCTCACGACAACCAACGTGTTAATCTCACAACAAACCACGGGTTAATCTCCCGACAACCCACGTGTTAATCTCACTACACCTACAGGTTAATCTTACTACACCTACAGGTTAATCTCACGACAACCCACGGGTTAATCTCACGACAACCCACGTGTTAAACGTATGACATCCCATAGGTTAATCTCCCGACAACCCACGTGTTAATCTCACGACAATACACGGGTTAATCTCACGACAACTCACGGGTTAATCTCACGACAACCTACGGGCTAATATCACGACAACCAACGGGTTAATCTTATGACAACCAACGGGTTAATCTCACGACAACCCAGCGGTTAAACTCACGACTACCAACGGGTTAATCTCACGACAACCAACGGGTTAATCTCACGACAACCCAGCGGTTAAACTCACGACAACCCACGTGTTAATCTCACTACACCAACAGGTTAATCTCACGACAACCACGTGTTAAACGTATGACAACCCGCAAGTTAATCTCACGACAACCAACGGGTTAATCTCATGACAACCCACGGGTTCAATACTACGGCTACATAAATAATCAAAAGAGTCATAAGGTTACTAAAGTAACATTCAAAGAGTTACATTCTTACATTAATTTTTTGAAGGATAGGTTTCACCCCAAAAGTAAATTTCTTTATTTATAAACATAGGATGCTAATATTTTATACCATTACAATGCATTAAAAAAAACTAGTAAGAAAATATAGTTCTAAATTGTTGTGACCTTGAAATAAGCTGAAAATGACCGCAGTTACTAAATTTGTCTACACAACGATCATGAAAAAAGTATTAACATTAAAGAACTGAAAATTTTCAATCACACTGTTAACATGATGGTGGGTATTTTATTTTCACTTTTATTTGATTCTGATGGATAATAAAAAAAAAAATATATGAATTTTTCTTTTTACTTTTATCACTATATTCAAAAATTTAGTAATATCTGAATAAAAGTGGACCAATTTCAAGAATGGCACATCAGAGGCGTAGCGAGGGGGGGGGGGGGGGGGCGGGGGGGGGGGACATATGTCTCCGGTCGCCGACCTTAGGGGGGGCGCCAAATTGAAAGTTCGAGGGGGGTGCAAATCGAAAGTTTGAGGGGGGGGGGGTGTGCAAATGAAAAGTTCGAGGGGGGATGCAAATCGAAAGTTTGTCCCCGGGCGCCGGGAAGGGTCGCTACGCCTCTGTGGCACATTCTAAAATTCTAAACATAGTTACCAAATTGTAATAGTAGCCACAAAATTATGTATCATTTTGAAAAATCGTGTTAGAGGTCAAAAATGGTTTTGAGAAAAAACGCAAGAAATGAAAGCAGCTCTCTGGTTAGTTAAAACAGTGTAACCTCGTAGGAAGTTTATTAATTCACTAAAAAATGCTGTTTTATTTTGAAAGTAATATTAATCACAGGTTAAAACCCAGCTTCATTTGATTTAGTACTGTTAAATGTATCAAAATTGGATGATTAGTAAGAAAGTTAATGATTAATCAAAATAATTAAGAGTTCTTAATTAGATAATGTATCGCATAATTATAGTTATATTAAAAAAAATATATTAAACCACGCCTAATTAACTTTTTTTTAAAATATTGTTAGAAAATGTTCATAAAATGTTTGAATATTTTTAGAAAATGTGTTTTCTATGATAATTGGGGTGAAACCTGTTCACGTTCTTAGGGTAAACTTTTTCAAGCGTAGCTTTTTGGTCACACTAATCAAACATTAATACTTTGCTAGCTCTAGGATCATGGGCAACAAAGTAGTGTACCTAAATTTTTGCTAGCGTCGCTACCAAAAACTGACCCTAACCCTGACCAAAGTCTAGCCCTAACTATGAATTTTACCATGGCATAAACTTAACTCTAATACCGTCCACTTTGACCCCACTCCCAAATCTAACAACAC